CATTATATTTTTTAAAGAAAAATAAAAAAACATATTTAAGTTGATTTTCAGTTGGATTCGCTCAAATTTACAAAAAGATGGGCTTGGTGCGAATCCAAAATAGGGAATGTCAGATGGGAAAATATTGAAAAATATAAGAATTTTTAAGTTTTCTAAAAACTATTTTTTAAACGCCCTCTCAAGTACTTTTTTTCAATTATAAAAAAGTGATTTAATAAAGCATCATAATATAGAAATAACAGAAATTCTTCGAGAACCATTTAAATTATGGAATAAATATACTACAAATGTTTTGACTTCTTCTTCTATAACTTGTCGATTTTCTGGAGAATTATTCAAAAAAAGAAAGGTTTTAAAATAAAATATAATTAAAAATTTATTTATTAAATTATATTTTGATATTTTTATTCCCTTATTGTTAGGACTAGAGAGCGGGATTTTCAAAAAACCTTGATTTCGGTTGGGTACCTTGACCAGATTCTTGACCTTGAGTCAAAGAAAAATTGAGGAACGCTGAAAAATGCCTTTATCTGGACTCTGGATCCAGGAAAAATCTAGATCTGGATCCAGATCTAGCCCGCTCTCTAGTTGGGACAAAATTCGAAATCCCAAAAATCAATCGAGTTTAAAATATTCTCCAAATTTTTAATGATTCAAAATTATTTTTATTTATTTATTTCTGTTTATTTTTTTTTGAACTGGCTTCGTTTCCGATTGAAAAAAATCAGGGTTTTGGTTTTATTCCGGGAAACCCGAGTTGGGCAAGTTTATTTTCTTCTTTTCCTTGGTTAATCCATTCTTACCCTATCTCGGTAAGGAAAAATATCCAGAGATTACGAATAATTTAAGAATTATAGCTTTTATTTAAAGAAAACAAAAACTCCTGCTAGACTCAAATATTCCCCCTCCCATAGTTTAATTCAAAATTCTACTGCAACATAACGCCAAACTTATTTTTGTTTTTCTTCATATAAAAGCTGTAGCTCTTTCATTTCTTAGTCATTCTTAACAATCGAGCACTTTTTCTTAAAATCCATTTTAAAGAGTGTTTTGGGTCTTACATTAATTGTTTTTTTATTTTTATTGATTTTTTAGTGATTTTAAAAAAGTAATTAAGCAATTCTACGTAATGTCGGTTGAACAATTGAATCATCAACTGTCTTTGGCTCATGCTCGAATCACTTCTCAAGATCAGCAAATTGCTTCTCAAAACCAGCAAATTGCTTCTCAGCAAACTCAACTTAACAAATTGACTGGAATGATTGGACTTCCGCCGGTTAGTTTTAAAAAATATGTTTTGACTGATCTTTCCGTTAATATCGATTTCATAGCATGAAACCTAATTATGCCTCGTTTTTCGAATTAAACTTCATTCCTTTTAGTGGCGTTTTTAAGAGGTTGTTATTTTCAGAATAAGATTGGGGGAGAGAGTTAAAAATTGATAACACAAATACCCCATACCTAGTCATTTTTAGGCCATTATTTTAGAAAATAATTTATTCATATATTAAAATATTTTTTATTTTAGGTGTTCGTTGGTTATGGTGGCCGGTTTGAGCGTAGATCCTGCAGTCTTTATGCTCTGGGATTTACTGGAACAGTGCCTTTCAATAAAGTGACTTCTCGATCCATTTCAATCAATTATTTTGAGATTACATTCTCGAGTCTTGAGGGGTATTATTTAAATCAATAAATTGTCCATTAGGCTTTTTACTGTTTAGAAAGTCATCATAGGGTCACAGAATTCCTCTAACCCTTGTACTCTATATTTTTGAGCATTATTTTAAGCTGTATCAATTTTATGGGGGAATCAAAATAAATTTTTAAAATAAGAAACAAAATTTCAGTTTTGACCTGTTAGGTCTTTGCAATGACAAAAACTTTATTTTCATTAATTCGCAATGGGAATTAAAGTCTGATCCTGGACGAAAACTCCTTCTGGACGTGGACGAAATTGGAGGTCCGATAACAATTGGTTCTGGAATTGTTTGGCCATCAATGAACAAATTCTACAAGAGTGAAGTTCCGCATATTTTTTTCACGATCAATGGGCAAAAGATTGGTATTTTTAATTTTCTATAAAATGTAATACTCAAAATTTTCAGGGAAATATATTCCTGTTGACTCTTCCCCGGATATGTTCCATCCAAAATTTGACTGCCATGGTGATGATGCTGTGGTTAATGTTAGTCTTGCTGAAGGTTTCCGCTATGATGTGGTCAACCAAGACTTTGGAGACGATGTGTACAATGAGGAAGACTGGGACATTTAAGTGAATAAATCTAAGTTTATTTAAATAAAAAAAATTGTTAAATTATTTTGTTAATTTTAAAAATAAAAATTTTTCCCATCCTGGGATTTGATGTTTATTACATGGTGTGATTTACACTTGAATATTTAACTCTTTTGATTCCTTTCCTTTTTTGCGAATTTCACAAGTCGTTTTCTCTCCAATCATTGTTGACCTCATTCGAATTCACTCCTATTCTAAGGATTTGTGAGGTACACGTACTTCCTCCGATTTTCTTTTTAATTGAAAAAATTCAAAAAATGAAATTTATTTTAAGAAATTAAGGCACTAAAAATTGAGTAAAAAATATATAAAAATAACAGAAAATATGTGAGCCGTAAAGGTGAAACTAGTTGTTTTTCTGCCAAAGACTGACTAGCTGTCGCCAAGTCGAAATTGCAAGTATTCCCCTAAAAAATAATAATTTTTTAAAAAACATTTCCCCCCTTTTTCCAAACCTTGCAAGCACAATAAATCTCTTCCAATTCATTCTGTACCCATTTGTGTGTACATCCAAGTTGAACAAAAGTAGGCGTTGTTACATTTATACAGCCTCGTTTTTCGTGCATTTTTGGTGAATTGAGGGAATTTTGTTGTCCATTATTATTCCCATTTCTATTGGTTGACCAATTGTTGGAAAATATTCTTTGGGCTGCATAAACACAGAAATGGCCTAAGAAAAATTTTTTTAGAAAAATTTTTTGAAAAATCTCTTAAAAATTTTTGAAAATTTTCCAAAAAATTTTTTCTGGAAAAATTTCAAAATTTAAAAATTTCAATACATTTACATTTATTTTGTCTACATCCAGAAGTCATTGAAGAAGAAACATCTTCAGCACTCATATCACAATTTATGCATTCATAAAATGGTGGTAAAGAGGGAAGTTTTTGTGCTGCTACTGACATTTCCCATTGACGCCTAAAAAATTTTAAAGAAAATTTATTTTAAAAAATACAGCCGGCTCTCGATTTTTTCCGAAATTATATTTTTAGGTTGGCCTTATTTTGGTTGGCCTCCGATTTGAGTGGTGTTGGAAGTTGCCTAAGCATCTCCCCTTTTAAGTGAATACACCTCGATTTTACCCACATTTTCCGACTGAATCTAATTAAAAAAACCCCCAAAAATCAAAGTTTAGACTGTAATTTAATTCGAAAAACCCCCTCAAGAATACCTCAAAGTAAATATCAAAAAATAATTTATTCTCTAAAAATAACCTTTGTTGTTGTTTCTTCTCCCCTCCTCCACCCAAACTTTTTAGCAAAGAGGAAATAAAAGAAGAATCACTTCCAGAATCATCCCCATTCGAATTACACATATTTTTCCCCCCACAAATACAGAAACGTTGAGGGGAAACTTGAAAATTATTTTTTTAGAAAATTTTTAAAAAAATTCAAAAAAACCTCCACCCCCACGGCTAATACTCAAACAAACGTGTTGTTGGCGTTGTAAAAGTTCTGTCGTTTTGTACAAATAGGGAAGCGAAGGAGGGCCAAAACCTTAATTTGTTGAAAGAATTTGGTCCTTGCAGAAATCAGTACTTTCTTTTTTAATATTTAAAATAACAATAGCGAATATTTAGGGCTCTAAAAAATTTTAATAAGTTAACCATTTAATCTTAAAAATCGAAAATACCTAGATAATAAAAGGGAAAGACAAAAATAGACAAAGAATCAAAAATAAAAAATTTTGAGGAAATTGAAATTTTTTAAAAATCTCGATTCAAAAAATCTTTAGGGGCCAAAATCGAAATTTCTACACAACTCTGCTTTTAATTTGTTAAAATTTTGACTTTTGAAAATCAATTGAAAAACTTGAAAATTTTTCCTTTATTTAGAGGAAATCATTAACACAACTAACTATCCATTTTTAAAAGACTTAATTTATTTTGAAATAATCAAACATAAATTTGGGAAAGACATCTTAAGGAAAGGATCAAAATAAAAATTAAAAATAATTATTTTTATTCCTTAAAAATACATATTTTTCAGAATTTATTTAAATTATATATTTGTAAAAGAGGAGGAGAGGTTTTTAATACAAAAAAAAGGTTTTAAAAATTTTTTTTAGGTAATTTTGTATTTTGCGCATAATTTTCTTTCAAACAAAAATAAACATTTTTTAATTGAATTTAATCAAAAACAAATAGAAAAAAATATAATAATTAGAAAAGGCTATTTTTAACGGAAAATTATTAAAATAAAATTTAAAAAATTTTTTAAATGGTTAAGAAATCTTTTCATAGAACCGCAACTTATATACAAAAAAAGGATTTGAGACCGGACCGAGACGAGATCTCAATTCTCGTGACACTCCCAGTCCCTTTCTCTAATTATAAGATATCCCCATATGGCTCAGAAGTTTTTTTATTTCGAAGTCTCCCTCTCCCGTCTTTCCACCCCGTAGCAATCAACATAAAAGTGTAGCTTAAATTGAGAAATAACTAGTTAGAGAAGGGATATTTTTGTGAAACTCTAGTTCAACTCCAACCCCAAGAAGATTTTGAAAACCCGATCCAAAATCTGATTCGACACTTTTTTCAACCCGATTCATCCCTGGTATCTAGTTTTTTGGATTATCCCCCTCTATAACGAGGTCGATTTACTCTTTAAAAATACAAAAAAAATTTTTCACAAACCTTATATGCGCAAATATTTGAATAAAAATATTTTTTCAATTAAAAAAAAATTTTTTTTTAATTTTTAAAATTCTCTAATCATCATCATCTAAGGACATATAAACAATTAATTCTTCTTTACATTCAATTTGTGTTCCCAAATTGTGTGCATCCATAAATAATTCTGTTGCTTTATTTAATAAATTTAATTCTTCTTGATTACATTGAGAACATTGGGTAGAGTCCAAAAATGTTTTTGTTGAATTATTATTTAAATTTGTTAAAAGTCCGGAGAGAGGAGATACAAGGTGGTGGTTGTGGTGGTGAGCATCAGAAGAATCTTTTTTTAGAATTTTTAAAAGTATTTTTAGACGTAATTTGGAGGGTCTCTTTTTTCTTCACAAAAAGTCTACCTCAAGTTACCAATTTGAAAAGTATCACAGAAAGAATTGATTTTGGTAGAAACGACGCAGCCCACAAGGAAAGTTGACCGCTCCAAAAGTCAAAAACTTTGAAGCCCTATAACTTTTCAAAATGGGGAATAGGGCCGAAAAAGCCTGAAACCACAATAGGTTATCGACCCTGCTCTACACAATAGTGAATGTTTCATCGCAAAATTTTTGGAAGTAGTTCGGTATGGTTCCTTTCAGAGAGTTAAGCCGAAACATACAAACTTGTCTAAATTCAACCTTTACTACTAGTCTTGCTATACATTATGTGCAGTGTTCATAAGCTCTTATCAAAATTCGTACTGATTGTTAGCTACGAAGTACGAGGCCAGAATTTGAAATTTATGAACACTGATTATGTGATAGATCAGGAGGATATGCTTATCTTAAATAAATCAACAAAATATTTTCAATTTTCCTATGACTTTAAGAAACTAAAATTCATAAATCCCCCGGTCTTATACAACAAAAATTATTTACAAAAAATTAAAATTTTTGGCAAGAAACAAAAAATCGATTTTTGTGAAGAAAAAAAAGATACATATATCATTTAAGGATAAATAATTGTCCCAATTTTATTTAAAATTAATAAAATACCCGCGGTTGTTGGTGGTGCTTTTTTACGTTCCAAAAGGGCATCGTGTCGCTTCACAGCTTCCACATAAAGTCTTGAGCGTTGTATCATATCAATATCGAGAGAATTGTTCTCAAGATTTGTAACGTCAATTATACTCTAAATTGAGAAATAGTATATTTTTTAGAGCTTTAGTGAGTGAAGCTTTTGGTTCTTACTTATGTTTAGAATAAAATTTTAGAAAACTTGAAGACTCATTTTACAGATGAACGAACCCCTATTAAGGATCATTCTACAAAATGTCGTAACTTTTTAAGGAATCATTAAATAGAAAAGGACCGGTAAAAAAAAATCAATCATATGGGGAATGATTGCATCCAATTTAAAAAAAAAGTTATGAAAAGGATTTAACCAGGCCCGTAGCCAGGGGGGTGAGGGGGGAATTCCCCCCCCCCCCCCCCCGAAATGAGAAAAAGGAAAAAATTTGGGGAAGGGCTGGGGCAAAAAAAGTGAATTTTTTGGCCTACGGCCTCTGAAATTTAAAAAATTTTCGCCTGCGGCGCTAAAAAGGAAGAAATCTGGCTTCTTGAGGTCCAAAATTCAAAAAATTTTCGCCTGCGGCGCTGAAAATCAAATTTTTGGCGCCTGCGGCGCCGAAAAAGTGAATTTTTTTGGCCTACGGCCTTCTAAAATTCTCAAAATTTTCGCCTGCGGCGCTGAAAATAAAAATTTTTGGCGCCTTCGGCGCCAAAAATTTGGCTTTTTTCTAATGCACTTTTTCTAATGCAGATTTGTGATTTACGCCTTATACATCAAAAAATTAGAATAACAAGTGGCGTTATGAGATGCCACATTATAAAAAATAGCAAAAAAATTCTCAAAATTTAGGTGGAAAAATTTTCATCTTTACAAGTACCCCCAAATTCTAATCAACAGAAAAATAAAAAAAACCTGCTGTGTTCTATCCAAAATTCTATTCATTAATTCCTCCTCTTCTTCCTCCCGACTGCGTGCCGTTTGCAATTCGGGAGCTATATTCATATTTCTGTCAGAAGCAAAAGGTCGTAGACTATTTGTCACGTAGTCTGTCACTGTTCCACTTCCATTCCTTTTAAAAAAATTTTAAAACAAAAAAATTTTCCAAAAAAAAACCCGTTAGGTATGTGATAGGCATCTTCAATAACTGCTCCTCTGTTATTTACAAGACGTTCTCGATCATTCCCATTGTCTTTACAACAACAAAATTTGCTGAGTAAATGTAACAAAGAAGTGTCTGATGACATTAAAGATTACAAGGCAACAAAATTTTTTTGAGAAAAAAATTAATAAAAAATAGTCAAGAAAATTCTCTGAAAGATTAAAAAAATTGAAGTTGAATTAGTGTGATTCCTTGGCACAAATGGGGTTACTCGATGGATTCCGCACACTCGTTCTTTTTTCCAACGGGATTCCTCGGCACGGAATGTGATTCCTCGATGGATTCCGCACATCCGTACTCTTTTTTCCAAGAGAACACCAAAAGAAAATGGGGGGATGCGGGAGTGATTCCGTGGGATTGTAGGATTAACCTTGCAGGATTCCTCCCACAAAAGTTATTTAGCCGAGTACTTATTTGAGCAATCAAAAAGTGAATAAATATACTTAATTGCAAATAGCATTTAATAAAATAAAAATGCAAAAGAAATACCGATATATTGACAGGAAAATGTAAGGAAATGGGGTAAGAAAAAAGTAAAAATATAAACTGATAAGAAAAATGTTGTATCATCCATTTATGTCTAAAAGTACGCGGTTTAAAAAGGAAAAACTAAAGAGAATTTTAATTGAAAGCATCGATAAAAGAAATCTTTAAAGTCAGTGAATCAAACAAAAGCCAAAATATATTTTGGTATATTGAAAATTTTTGCTTTTTTAGGCTTTTTGAAATATTTTTAAAAAGTTGACATTTTGAAATTTCGAAACAGACATTATATCAAAGTGTGTCCACACAAATGGTAAATCCGACAAAATGGTACAACAGCTAGAAAAGACAAAATGATAGTACATGTAAAAACGACAAAATGGTACAACGGCTGAAAAGAGACGGTTAGAGTCCCTGTTTGACCCGCAATGAGAATTGTCATCAAAATTATTTTTGAATATTTCCGAAATTTTTGATTAATTTTTTTCTTTTTTTGTGTACATTATACATCTGATAGGCGCCAAAAACAATAAATTTTTTCTTTTTAAGAAAATTTCTAGTTAAGAAAACTAAATATGATTGACTCTCCTTTGTTAACCGATATGGATTTATTTAAAGATTCTCGTCTAATTACAGATGCTCAGCAGTGGAATCCTTACGACGATATGGGAGGGTATTCCTTTTAAATTTTTTTGAATTTTAAATAAAAATAATTTTTAGAACTTGTGCTGCTATCCGTGGTGATGATTGGGTTGTTTTCGGTAGTGATACTCGTATGCTTATGTGGAAAAGTATTTTGGCTAGAGACTGCGAGAAGATACACGTTTTGTTAGTTTATTTTTATATCAGGCTATTTTAATAGACTTTTTGGTGTAGTGGGATACGTTCGAGGCAGATTGGGCTAGGTTCGAGTCCCAGCTTGTGAAATATTTTTTTTAATTTTGCAGTTTAGTGTTGATGTGTTCTTTTCTAATTAAATAACCTATAGGAATTCTAAATAATGTTTAATAAGACTGCTTTGGTGTAGTGGTGTAGTCTTTGTGATTTTAGCAACCAAGGGGTCCCGGGTTCGAATCCCGGCGATGAACACGATTTTTTGTTTTTGCAATTTCGTATTGATATTTTCTTTTTTGATTAATTAAATCATGCTAATAATAAAATAGGCTTTATATAGGACGCTTTGGTGTAGCGGTAAGCTTCTTGATTTTAACACTCAAAGGGGTACTAGGTTCGAACCCCTTCGATGGCAATCATTTTTTAATTTCGTAAATAAATAACAAAAAATTGTTTTAACCTTTTTTGCAATCCTACGAAATTTTTTAAAGTCATTATAAACCTAGTTATCCCAATATTCCCTATTTTTTATTTATAGGGACAATAACATTCTTTTGGGTACTTGCGGTTTTTATGGTGACGTTCTTCAATTAAAAAAGCTTTTGCAGGTTCTTTTAATTTTTATTTAAAATCAAAATTTCATCTTTTAAAGCTTCGTCAAAATCAATACAAATTTAATTATCAACATCAAATGACTACTGAAATGTTTGCGTCTATGTTGTCTCGTATTCTTTACAGTCGTCGCTTTTTTCCTTTTTATACGGGATGTATTGCTGGGGGAATTGATACTAAAGGTTTTTTATTGGGTTTTTGACTCGGTATTAAAGGGAGATCGGCCTGAAACTGGTTCCAATCCTTGATTTTGGCCTGGATCTGGTTCCATTTTTAATTTTTACTTGACTCAAAGACAATAATCTGGTCAATATTTTCAATCATATACGAGGTCAAGATTTATTTAATTTCCGATTTCTACTTGGTTTAGAGACCCTCCATTTAATTTTCTATTTTTGCTTTATTCTTTTGGGCTCCATTAAATATTCGTTTTTGAAGGACGGCACAGTTTTGTGCTCTTTCCAAATTCTTCCTCCACCCTTTGATTTGAATAGAAATAATTTTTTACACCCCGGTCAATGTCCCGCCTGAACTAAAAATTAGGCCGGAATTGAGATCTCCACTCTTGGATCTATTAGCATACCCTCCCTTTATTGTTGGTATCCCCAGGACCCACCAAGGACTTTCAGTAAAGACTGGACTAGGAGGGCCTTACTAGATCGATTATCGAGATTTTTTGTTTGAGATCTCGGCTGGATCCATTCTCTAGTTCCTATCAGGGAATTGAAAAGACGGACAGAATTTTGATTTTCTTTTCTCATCATTTTTTAAAACCTTTCTAGGTAAAGGGGCGTTATATTCTTATGATCCAATCGGGCATTGGCGTCTAGCACAAACTTTCTGCACTGGTGCTGGCGGTACAATTGTACAATCATTTTTTGATATTACTTTTCAACAAGAGACTATCGACGAGGGGAAACGTAAACCTGTAACTGTTGAGGATGCAAAAAAATTGATGAAAGACGCTTTTCGTTCGCTTGCTGAAAGAGAGACTTCTACTGGGGATGGACTTAAAATTGTTTGGTTAAAGGCTGGAGATAAAGAGGTTTGGTAATAGTGTCGTTTCCAGGCCCCATTTTTTCTCCCCAATTTTTTACCCTATGTTTGTACGGAATGGTCAAATTTTCCCCCTTCTTTCATCAAATTTGCCTTTCCATATTTTGCCTAAAAACAATCAAAAAGCTTGGTGTTTCTCTCAACGCCCCCAATCATCCATACACCTTTCTTTGATTTCGTCTTACAACAACAGTCTTCTATTTTTATTAATTGGGAAAATGATTGTTCTCATTACTCTAATACTTTTTTAAATATCACAAATTAATTTTTTTGATTGTTTTTAGGCAAAATATGGAAAGGCAAATTTGATGAAAGAAAGGGGAAAATTTGACCATTCCGTGCAAACATAGGGTAAAAAATTGGGGAGAAAAAATGGGGCCTGGAAACGACACTATTACCAGAGGTTTTTCTTTAATTTATGTTTTGTTGGGAGATAAGGAGGGAGAGGAGGGTCTGTTAAAAAAATTTTTTTAATAGATGGATATAACTAGTGACCTACCCATTTGTTTTGGCCCAAGGTCCTTTTACAAGAAATGAATATCTCACTTCGCAATAGGAATCTTCAAAAAAATTTTTTTGTTTTCATTTTTAGGCTCATTCTGAAACTTGTGATTTGCGTGGAGATTGAGAGGAAAAATTTTTTTATTGGAAAATTTTGATTGAAACAAACTTTGACGTATATTTTTCTCTTTACATTATTTAAGGTTTTTTGTGTTCTAAGAAATTAAAATTTTTTGTTTTGTTTATTTTTATTAACTTATTTTTCTTGAGACGGATCTGGGGGGTTTTTTTAGTGTGCTAACAAAGACAAAACAGAACAACGGGTATAAACGACAAAATAGTACAGTAACTAAAAAAGACAAAATGGTACAACGGCAAAAAACGACATAATGGAACACTAGCTAGAAAAAGTACCATAATCCTATCATTTCCGGGCATACATGCACATTTTAATTAACTAAACCGGAGCGTCACCTAATTAACCAAGAAGGTTTTTAATCAGAAATCCTTATAATTAGTGCCACAGCCTTATTATTTGTAACCTTTTCTTAAGAAAACTTTATCGGAAACTCTAATTTATTGCTTCCCTTCCCCCCTCTACACACACCCACTTATTTAGTTTTTTTCTTCGAGAATCTTCACTTCTATGCAAAAATCTTTTGACAAACAAGCATTTTCTTAATAATAATAAAAAGATTGCCTGGAGGCAAAGACGGTTTTTGTTACTTAAAAAGGACAAAAATACCGAGAAATCTTGAAAAATAAATTTCCCTATAATTAAATCTCGTGTTCAAATTTTATTGAAATTTTTTATCGTCAATAACAGATTTAAAGCCAGAAAAATCTAAAAATGTCACGAACAATCATTTTATTATTTCTAATTGTATTAACTGCACAAATAATTAAATGCAAGTCATCTCATGGTAAATAACCTTTTTTAGTGAAATTTAGTATACTGTCGAAACTCAAACCTCGTTTAGATACATTCAATACATAATTTAAGAGATTAAATATACCAACATTATAGTTGGCCATTGGGAAGAGCTGTCTAAACGATATTCTCAAAGATAACCTCATAAGGTACAGTGTATCGGTTTCTATTAAACTTGTCTCCTTTCCACAAATAATCGGTGTGCTAAACAGTAAGGGCGGATCCGGATCCGTTAAAAGGCTGGATATCCGGAAATTTTCGAAGCTTTCCAACTATCCGCCAACCTTACTACACAATCAAAAATAAACCCTTACAAGAAGATTGAAAAATAGAAGCACATGTATTAGAAGATTTAGGGTATTTAAAAACCGGACAAATGCCAAAAGGCTTCGATCAAAAGAAAATGAGAGCGAATAATCAGGCAGTATCGGTACAATTTTTAGTCACAAAGTCTTATAATGGAGGTTTTCGGCTGTATCAATTTAAATTATTTTAAATAATTTAAATCATTTTTAGGCCCAACTTCTACGTTTTTCTTTATAAAAAGTTCATTAAATGATCTACTAAAATCCCGTGTCGGAATACTACAAAACCAACAGGGAAAGCGTTCTATAAATACAAACAGTCTTCAGTTGTTGAAGAGGTTACAACAAAGAAATGTTGAGAATGAAGTGGGATTTTTTCTTAATTTTTAGTCATTCAGTGCTTTCCCGATCCAAAAATTCGAACTGTGTCCTTCGTTCCGGTTCCTGTTAGTTCTGAAAATAGGCGGTTTCAGGTCCTTATTCCAATAAATAGGTCCGGAACCGGAAAAGGACTGATGCTATTTGTGTTGATTTTACAACTAAATTTATCTTTCCAGGCAATTGGTGATTATGCCAGAGTTATGCGTTCAGCAGCCAATAAACAAAGCCCTGATTGGAGTGATTTGGGATGGGCTTGGGGGTAAAGAATGGAAATTAAGAATAAAAAGAGTATGCAAGATAATTAATATGTAATTGCAGTAAATTGTATATTTATCAACAAATAAAAGAGTACAAATATCAGATAACTAAATAATGTTACTGTCCCAATTAAATTTAAATTACTCCGAAGTGAGGACTGTTTTATCCTGTGCCATTTTGTCTCCTGTATAATTTGTCCCTGTACCATTCTGTCTGCGTGCCATTGTGTCCCGTGTACTATTTTGTCACACGTACTATTTTGTCCCTTGTACCGTTTTGTCCAAAACAGTTTTGCAGGCTATACAAGGGAGAGCAATTCTCCGTTAGTTTTCTTTGCTATTTATTTCACTCTTGGCCAAATTTATTTCTTGATAATGATCAGTTTTTGTTATTCTATTCGAGAGTAAATCAGTCTTTTTTCTATTCCTTTTGTGTTTTGGCGATATCTAAATTATCGATAGTTTGGGTACAGCCCAAAACCGCGCGCGGCATAACGGCGCAAAGTCATAACATGCTGGAAAATGTCTGGCTTTTGTCAATTTTGGTACCAATCTCCTTAGCTCGATGAATTGTTTGATACTAAATTTGGTAAGGTTAGAAAATCTTGAAGCAAGTTATGGCTTTGCGCCGTTATGGCCGCGCGCCGTTTTGGGCGTGTCCCTGATAGTTTATATTTCGTTGATTTTAGGGATGACAAAATTTAAATTTTCTCTCTTAATTGGTTAATTAAATATCTGCCAAATTTCATTAACATTCACTAAAATCGACTTTTTCTTTTTTCTCATTTTTGTCTTCCCATTCATCCATTTTTTTTAAAATTTTATTTTCTAAAATTAAAAAAAGCTTCCACATTTTTGTGGGATGATTAGTTAGTTTTGTTTAGCAAAAAAAAAGGAAAAGCATTTTTCTCTATTCCAACAAAATTAGAGAAAATGAAGAAGGGAAGGATTGTTTGGTATATAAGGGATGCTTCCATTGATGTTTTTGAAAAGAGTTGGGGGTAGTTTATTTATACTCTATTTTTGCTTTTTTGCGGTCGCTATCCTTAAAGCATTTAATGGTAAAAAACTCAATATTTTTATTTCGAAAGGAATGGACGTTGGTGTGTGTGTATTTAGTTGGGTTGGAGGGGAAAACCAATATATTTAAACTCTCCACATTTAAATATTTTTTAGTTTGTTGAAAGGGTCAGTCAATGGTAGAGTTGTGTTGAAAGTTTTTTAGTTGAAGTTTTCGGATTTATTTAATTTTCCAAGAAAATTTTTGTTTAAATAAGCACCTTGATTTACTTGTTTTTTTTTCTCCTGAAAACTGTAGAGATCGAGCTGGACCTGGACCAAAGCCTGGGTTTTTCCTGTAACAAGAATCAAGCCCAGGCATATTTTGACCTTCCTGAGGTTTTCCTGGGCTTGGGTTTTTTCCAGTACTACAGGCAAGTCAATAAATCAATCCCAGAGCCAGGCTTTTCAAAATTTCCGATCTCCTGAAAGCTGTCTGTTTTTTGGTAACTCGGTCCCTGATTGTCGGATCGATACCTTTCACCCCTCATTCGACTCAGCTCGACGAGCTCTTTCGAATGACATATCATATGTCTAAATCGGTCCAGCCAAAAAAAGTCCCCTATAAGTCAAAATTTCCTACTTAATAATATTCGTGGAATTATCTCATTCCTCTCCTCATCTTTTAATTAAATTTTTTTAATTTTTCAGACTTTCAATTTACCTAAAGCTTAAATTCTATTTATTCTTCAAAGCGAAAACCGTACAAGCAATTGACTGTTCAAATTGTATGTTATATTGCCTAAAGAAGCAAAGCAAAAGCGACACGAAGTCTAATTGTTTTATGCTCGATTGGCCTAGAGGTTTTTTAGATAAATTTTGGAGGGATTCTTTAAGACAAATTTTCAGGACGATCGTCAAAGAAAAGAAAGAAACTGAAGTCCCTATTGGATAAACGTGAAAAAACGTCGAGTTTAAAGGGAATCGCATGCCATTTAGTGGAACCGATACCTTACAGGATTAATACAAAAATTAATAAAGAGGATATTACCGAGGAGAAAAGAGAAGAGAATTTTTATTTGTAAGAGGTTTTTTTGAATTTAATTTTGGTTTGTGGACCCCTCAAATTCCCTTATTGGGTAGAGCTTGTACTGATTAAGTAATTCCAAAATTAGTTTATTTGGAAGGTTTTGGACTAGATGACGATTTTCTAAGGGATCCTGTTCCGAAAAGTTGTCGCCCCATACACACCATACCCTAGTTTTTAACATAAATTTTAACAGATGGGATCAGGGTGTGCGGATATGGATTCGAGAAAGAAGGGATGGATATCAGAAGATTTCCCAGGTCCGCCAACTCCAGAATCGACCTAAAAAAATTTCCCTATAGGCAAACAATCATGTCAATCTTTGCATTATTTAGCTTGAAAATGTCTTTTTGAGATGACATACGATTTTTCCCATTTTTGAATATTAGTCAGTACAAGAGCCGTAAGCCTGTTAGTCAGTACAAGCTCTATCCAACGAACTATCATTTGTCTGCTTGAAAATATCTTTTTGAATGGACTTCCTATTTTCCCATTTCCGAATACGTCTAGCTGTTCCTGTCCACTTTTTTACTGGCTGATGGGGGCCACAAACCGAAATCTTACCCTTCGGGTTTTAAATAAATTTTTATTTTTTCAGTATTTATAAATAGAGAAGTATAATTTAAAAGAAAATGGCGCAGAAAGTTAATGTTAATCGTAATGTGCAAGATCCCTTCTATCGCTATAAAATGCCACGCCTTTTGGCCAAAGTTGAGGGAAAAGGAAATGGAATTAAAACTGTTGTTGCTAATATGCCTGAAATTGCTAAGGCACTCTCTCGCCCTCCAACTTGTTTGTTTTTTTTTTAATTTTTGGGGGGTTTTGTTAAAATATTGAGGGACATTAACTAAAGGATATGAAATGGAATCGATGTCTTGAAGATTCTCGCTAGCTGATTGTGAGGTTTTTGGATGAGATTTCGTCTTGTTCTGATTTTAAGTTTTCTAGTTGTCTATATTCGAAATTCCAATGATTTCACAAACTTAAAAAAAAGTACACATTAACAAGAGTATCCGGTCGGAAGATTCCAATGTGGGTTATAATCGAGCCTCCCCTGTAGAGATCAGTCTAGATCTGGATCCAGTCTGGATTCTTTTCCTTGATCCAGATCCAGAATTTTTGAAAATACCTATCTCTACTCCCCTGTATACACCCTTGTCATTAACTTACCCTAACTTTTCGATACTTTGAAGTCTCCCAAGTTCCTTTAATTAAAGTCTTTCCCTAATTCAATCCATTTTTAGATCCAACAAAATATTTTGGCTGTGAGCTCGGCGCTCAAACATATTTTGACTTTAAGAATGACCGTTACATTGTAAATGGCGAACACGATGCATCAAAACTTCAAGAATTATTGGATGGGTTTATTAAAAAATTTGTTTTGTGCCCAGCATGTGACAATCCTGAAACTGTCTTGGTAAATCGAAAAAAATTATTTTTTTGAAAATTTTGAATTTTTAGACAGTCAAAAAACAAGTCATTTATGCCAAATGTAAAGCTTGTGGACATGGATATCAAGTTGATCCGAAACAAAAATTGTCTGCTTATATTCTTAAAAATCCTCCAACGAGTGAAGAAAGCAATGGAGACGGGAAAAATGCTAATAATAATAATAATAACGATTCTGGCTCTCCTCCAACAGAAGCTGGGGAAGATGGAAATTTGGAAGAAGACAATGGGACGGTTAATGGAGCTGTTCGTGGAGGGAGTGGGTCGTTGGATGAGGAGGATGATGACGATTGGGCACCTGAAGTTATTGAAGCTGAGAAGCTTAGTGGAGAGGTTCGGACGATTTTTTAAATTATTTTGAATATTTTTTGACCTGGTGGTTGAGTGGGATAGTTGTTGGTTTTGCTGGGGAAGGGGTCTAAGGTTCGATACCGTTAGCCTCCAAAAGTTATCAAATGATTGTTTTCAACCTTTTTTTTGGAGAGGTTTAGGAAGATTTTTTAAATTGATTTTGGGAATTTTTTAACTTTGTGGTTGAGTGTGATAGTTGCTGGGTTTTGCTTGGGAGGGGTCATGGGTTCGATACCATTAGCCTCCAAAAATTGTTGAATCACTGATTTTTAATCTTTTTGCCTTTTTTAAAAAATTGAAGTCTAAAAAGGTTTTAAAAATATTTTTAGATGAGTAAAATGGTTGTGGACAAAGATTTGGACAAATCTATTGATGATCGTCTTGATATGCTTCTTGCATATTTCCAACAAGCTCTAAATGATGGAACAATTCAAGATGGAAAGAAAATGTTAAATGAAGCTGAACGTTTAGAATTAAAGAATAAAGCTTCTCTTCTATTGGCTAATGTTTTGTTTACGGAAGATTTGGTTCAACAAATTAAACAATATCGAAATTTGCTTCTTCGTTTTTGCATGAATGATGCTAAGGTTAGGAATTTTGGGAGTTTTAATGAGATTTGGGTTAATTGGGGAGTCTTGGATCATTGGGAAAATACGAATAAATTTTTGGTAATATTTTTTTCGCTAGTCAATGTCAGTTCTGGAGATCGGTATTTTCAAAAATCCTGTATCTGGATTTAGGTTAGTACCCTGGACAAGATTCTGGATCTGGATCCAGGAAAAATCCAGATTCAGAAAAAATCCAGGACGATCAAAAATGCCTGGATCTGGACTCTGGATCCCAAGGGCGTATCCAGGGGGGGCTGGGGGGGGGGCTAGAGCCCCCCCCCCCCCGAAATGGGGGAAAGGGGGAAAAAATTAGGAGAAGGATGGTCGAAAAAGTGAAATTTTTTCGCCTACAACCTTCAAATTTTAAAAAATTTTCGCCTGCGGCGCTAAAAAGGAAGAAATCTGACTTCTTGGGCTCTAAATTCCAAAAAATTTTCGCCTGCGGCGCTGAATAAGTGAATTTTTTGGCCTACGGCCTTATAAATTTTAAAAATTTTCGCCTGCGGCGCAAAAAATGGATGAAATCTGACTTCTTGGGCTCTAAATTCCAAAAAATTTTCGCCTGCGGCGCTGAATAAGTGAATTTTTTGGCCTACGGCCTTATAAATTTTAAAAATTTTCGCCTGCGGCGCAAAAAGTGGAAGAAATCTGGCCTCTTGAGCTCCAAAATCCTCAAAATTTTCTCCTGCGGCGCTAAAAAGGAAGAAATCTGACTTCTTGGGCTCTAAATTCCAAAAAATTTTCGCCTGCGGCGCTGAATAAGTGAATTTTTTGGCCTACGGCCTTATAAATTTTAAAAATTTTCGCCTGCGGCGCAAAAAATGGATGAAATCTGGCTTCTTGAGCTTGAGCCTGCGGCGCAAAAAAAGTGAATTTTTTTGGCCTACGGCCTTCCAAAATTCAAAAAATTTTCGCCTGCGGCGCTGAAGTGATGAAAATTTATGTACAAAAAATTTGCGTCCGGAACGCCAAGGTAAACGCCAAAAATTTTTGCGCCCACCCAGTGTTAGCCCCCCCCCCCCGAAACCGACCCCCTGGATACGCCCTTGCTGGATCCAGAAAAAATCCAGACTGGATCCAGATCCAGACCGATCTCTAGTCAGTTCTCCTCGGTTTAAGATCAAGCGGTTCCTCTATTCCGGGTCATCCAAAAAATACGGTTCAATAGGGAAACACCGTTCACCACCATAAGAGACCTTTAAATTTCTCTCATATTTTATAAAATCACAAAAATTTCAAAAATTATTTTAGGCACAGCGCCATCTTCTTGGAGGTATTGAACAAAAAGTTTTTGGAAAAAAGGATGTTTTGCTTCCAAAAACGGCTCATATAATAAAAGCTTTATATGACAATGATATTTGTGACGAAGAAGTGCTTATATCTTGGGGGAAAAAGGTTTTTTTAATTTTTAAAATTTTTTAATTAAATTTTTCAAAAATTTTTTCAAAGCCAAGTAGCAAATATGTCAAAAAAGATTTTGCAAAAGAAATGATTAAAGTGGCCCAGCCAGTGCTAGTTTGGCTTGAAGAGGCTGAGGAAGGCTCTGAAAGTGATAATGATGATGAAGATATTGCTGTAGCTTTTGATGATCGTAGCCGTGTTGTTGGGACTGTTGTTGAAAATAAGGAGGAGGGAACAGCCAAAAAAGGTTTGGATAAGGAGGAGGAGGGAGAAGGGGATGTTGACATTGACAATATTTAAATGAATAAAACCCGTAAAAATATTGGTAAGAGAAAAACTATTCAACCACCAAAAAAATATTTTATTTTAAAGTTTGGATTCTTTTCGATATGTTAAATTGTGTGTGGTTCATTTATTGAGATAAAAATTGATTTGTGGGAGTTTTATATTTTTTAAAAGGGTTAATATTTTGTATTTCTCTCTTAAATTTAACGGGAGACCCAGGCGCTTAGTCCCTTTATAGGACTTAGAAAAGATGCACGCCCTAAGTAGGGGATCAAATGCTTGTAAATCCCAATGCATAAAGGTATTGTCATTCCAACTACTGACAAAAATCCTTAACATTCCCCTTCCCCATATGAGTGCATAAATAGTCTTTGCGGTTGATTTAATACACCAAGGAAACTATAGGGGCGGTATATTCAGTTGTGTTTCGGTCTAGGCTCATTACTCAACTTCTCTATTCCATCCAATGAATTTTTACACACGATAATTCTAACATTCCCAATTTATTACTCAAAATTTTTACAAAAATGTAAAGGTAGTAAAATATATCTTTTATGGGAACAACACAAGGGAAAGACCTGAATTTTTCGATGGAAAGATGGTCAGAAAATATTGCAGGCAATACAAGTGGCGAATATAAAAAATTCTTTTAAATACAATAATTTAGAAGGGAAAAGAATTTTGAATTTATCCCTCTTCTTTCAAAATTTGTTTGGCATTAATATTAGCAATTTCTTCCAATTGTTGCCATTTTCGTTGTTTTTCCTCCACTTCAGAATTTTCAGAATCTTTTAATTTTGAAAAATTTTGGACACAACAATCAAAAAGTTTTTGGTCTTCTTCCATAAATAATTTTAATGTGTTGTAGATTAGGCCGTGAATTGTTCTATAAAATAAAAATTTTTTAAATTCTTGCGGATTATATTTGCGGACAAAAATTTTGTCCGCAAAAATATTTGCGGACAAATAATTTTTGGAAAGAATTTTTTAAATTGTCCGAAATATCAAAAACCTCCCCCAATCCTTAATTATTAAAATAATTTTTTTACTTGTTCCAATGATTCCTTGAATTTCTGTATAAAGCAGGGAACATTATAGGCAATAATTGTTGAACATTCTCACTAAATTTTTAAGATTAAATTTAGATTTTAATTAAATTTATTAACCTTATTAAAGCTAAAATACATTCATTATTCCAAAAATACAATGCTCTCTCGGCTACCTAAAAAATTTTTTTTGAAAATTCTATAAATTAAACCTGAAAGTGTGGACTTGAAACACATCTTGCCAATTGATAAAATAACGGAATCATTACTTTCTTGAACTAAAATAAAAAATTATTTTAAATTACAGATAGACTCGTGGTGGTGAAAAATTATATACCATAATGAAAAGTTTCTAAAAAGGGAGGAATAAGCAATCTCCTAATTAGGCAAAATATCTAACTAGTGATCGGACCGAGATGAGATCCTGAACAAAACTCTTCAAGATTATTCGAAATATCGGTCTCGATTCTCGTGTCTCAACTCCCAGTTCGATCTTTAATTCCTCCTAATTCAACCTCAACCTTCTAAATCATTCCAAAATTGTACCCCTCCCCTTATTAAAGAAATCATCCCTTATTGTTAGGCAACCTCCTACAGTGATCAATCAGCTATTAATTGAGATAACTCAAAATGAGAGGGATCTTATAGTGAGCTCTGACTATAATAAAAATTAAAGAAAAAAAACCTCTGTTGGTTCAATAACATCCAAAATTTCTTCCAATTCATTCAAAAACATTACCTAAAAATTTTTTTGAATTTAAAAAATATTTAAATAAAAAACCTCTTTCGGACTATGCACTTTAGGCCAATATTTTAACAAAGCCATAACTACAGCAACTGTTAAACTTGGATCTTTGTCAATAAATTGTACAATACAATAAGCTAATTGAGGGTGATAAGCATTTAAATATTTTGCCTAAAAATAGAAAAAAATTTCTTTGAATATTTTGTGCTTATAAAAATGTTATTTTTAAGGAAATGGAAGAAGAGACAAGTAAAAGAAAAATTTAGTCAGAGAAGCGGTATTGAACCTTTAACCCCAAAATCTAGTAGTCGAGTACACTACCACTACACCATAAGGGAACCTATTGATGAGAGTAAATAATAACTACATATACATAATTTTTTATTCATTAAAAATACTTTTAATAATTTATCTCTCAAAAATTCATGAAATAATTGAAAAAAATTTTTTTGAATTTTTCTAAAAAATTTTTTGAATTTTTTTCATTAATTTATTCTCCAAATATTCCTCCCATATTAAAAAAAATTATTTATAAATAATAACCTTATGGAGAGGTAACAATACACGCATTAAAAATGTTTTGTGTTCATCTTTAAGAGGAATTGCAAAACCTTTAAATTAAAAAAATTTTTTCTAATTTTTTAAATAAAATTTAGTCTAAAATTAACTAAAATTCTTAAAAATTCTAAAAAAAATTTAATTCCCCCTCATAAACCAACCATTAATTATACTTCCCAAAACTTCCAAAAGTTCAGCAATTCCATTATGCCTTTCAGTCTCATAAATAAAAGTGTAAAAAATATTATTTATTTGTTTTCTAATAAAAGGTCGAAAAGCAACAAGTCTTCCATAAATTCGATGAGTTATTGTTTTTAGAAAATCCTTTGGAGAAAAAAAATTTTTTTAATTAAAAAATTAAAAAACCCGTTCACGAGGATCTTCGCTGTCAAATAAATCTAACAACTAAAAAAAAATTTTTAGAAGATATAATTGGTATAGGAAAATATTTTTGCGACATAAAATGGTGCCAATCTTACAAATAAATTAAATTTCGCCAAAACCCCAGTTTCTCTCTTGCTATTTTAATTGAATTAAAAGATTTTAAGTCAATTACGTTGTGGTGTAATGGTTAGTGTGCCCGCCTCCCTATGCTAGGTGTCTATGGTTCGATTCCTTTTGCCCCTATTTATTAAAGGAAGTGTTTTTGAATTACTTTTTGTAAATTTTAGCATTCAGAAAATTTTTTTGTAATTTTTAGAAAATTTTTTAAAATTAGAAAAAAAATAAAATTTACATTAATAATAAATTTTTGATTTAAAAGATCCTTTGCATATTGAATATTAAATTCTGGAGATTCAATAAATCGAAGAAAAAGATCATAAACTAATTGTAAATGTGGCCAAGAAGGTTCTAGTGTTGGATCATCCTTTAATTTTTTTGAAAATATTTTAAAAATCAAAATTTAAAAAAAAACCTCATCAGGATCATACTCTGTCCCTGTTGGATGTGTTGGTGGGGAAAGAACACGAAAAACATTTTTAGAGAACTTTAGAAAAAAAAAATGAAAAATTAAAAAAAAAATTTTCAAATTTTTTAACAGATAAATTATTGCGGAAAAAAGAAAGTTAATTTTTTACCAAAGAATTATGCATCTTTTAAGTCCAAAATGTTTTTTTTTTATTTTTTGGATTAAATTCTTCATTAAGTTCAATTATACGGAGAATTTAATCCAAAAATTAAAAAAAAAAATTTTAGATAATCTTGGAATTGAAAAAATTCCTATCTAAAATCACGTGATTTGGGCACCCCCCTTCCCCCATTTAGCCAAACAAAAAATTAAATTTTAGATTGTGGGTGTACCCAATTTTGAGTTTGACTACTTAAATAATTTAAAAAAATTCAAACCATATCAAATAAAGGCACATAAAAATCCTCATGAATTACAGCCTTTTTTAAAGTAATAAAATCAATGCATTCATTCAATGTTGATCTTTTTATCTTAAAAAATATTTTTTTTATTTAAATTAAAATCAAAAAAAACCTCTTTTTGCCTTAAATTAGAAAGCGGATCAATAGAAAAATCAAAAATTTCAGTGCAAATCTTCAACTTTTTGAGAAATAAGTGTTTAAAGTATTCCTGGTCGTCGTCTGGGACTTCTTTAAAAAAAATTAATTAAAAAATTTTTTTAAATATTGAATGAGGAAAAAAAATGTGTGAGATTTTTTCAAAAAAATAAAAAAAAAAGGAAGATCCAGTGTAAAATTAAAAAGAAAAATATAGGCCTCTATAGAGGAAATTAAGAAATTAATTCAATTAAAAGTTTAAACAGAAAAATATGTAAAAATTAAGGAATGGATTAAATAAAAAAATCAGTGGCGTCAGATGAACTTATTGTCCGAGGGAAAAAATAGTCTAAAAACGGCAGGAATAAAAATTCGAGTTTTTCGTTTGAAATTAAAATAAGAATAAAATTTAAAGAAAAATTCAAAACAAACCATTAAATTGAGGCAAAACTTCATAAGTTTCATTCAAATCAACAACACTCTGTCTTTGTTTTTGTTCTTTCAAAGCAATAAATTCCATCATTTTTCTATCAATTTCAGCTTCGTCAATTTTTGGACGGTGACGTTTATTTTCATTAAATTTGTCGAAATTTTCATCATTTAGTGAAATAGTAGAAGTATTTTGAGGTTGATATTCTTCCTCTGAAAAAAAATTTTTTGATGAAATGAAAAATAAGAATATATGTAGAATATTTAAAAAGAATTTTTTTAGGAATTCTATTTTCAAAAATTAAATTAAAAATAAATAAAAAGTCGAAAATAAAATAAAAACCAAAGCATTAAACAGAGAGGACTCGAACCTCGTTAGGAAAAACAAGGATCAAGAACGATACCACTACACCAGAACTGCTCCCATAGGAAACAACGAAAGTTGAAATATAATTAAAAAAGGAAATGGCTTAGTATTAAATTTGGTTAATAGAGAAACGAAACTATCGAAAACTACTTGCAAACCCTCCCTACCCTCGCAAGTTATCAAAGATTCTAAAAAAAATTTCCCTATTTACTAAACTCATTTCTGTTGGGTTCTAGAAGATTTTTACCCAAAATAGTTTAAAATTAAAAAAAAACCACGATTTGAAGACGTTTCTTCTTTTGCCTCATCCATTTGTAAATATTAGAGAACAACACAAAGTCACAAAATAAAAAATATTTTAAAAAAGAAAAAAAAATTATTGAATTAGCAAAATAAAAATTAAAATATAATTAAATTAAAAAATAAATAAAATTAAAAAGAAATAATTTTCAAAAAATAATTTTTATATTTATCGAGATCTAACAAAAACAACAAACAAAAGATTTTTTGATTGATTGTAAATTAAGACACCTAAAAATGAGAAAATTTTTATATTGTTTTTTTTTTCATCGGGAATAAAATTAAATGAAGATAATTTTTTTTCAGGCTTTTAAAAATTAGAAGAAGGTCATTTGATAGAGGTCTACAAGAAAAGAAAAATTTTTTGGTTTGGAAAAAACATCAAATCATTAAAAACACTTGGGCTGGGAAGTCTCCTAAGTTATACGCTCTATTTAAAGAACACCACCACATCTCTAATACATACTAGATAGATCTTCTATTCAAGAAACGTTTCTTTTTAATTTGGTTAACCACTGTGAGTGGGTGGGGGAAGTCGTCTAAACTATACCCCCCCCCCCAATTTGAGATACCCCTCATTATAAGAGACCATTTTTACAAGGATAGTTAAAAAATGAGGTTTAGCTGTATAAATTCCCAAACCAAAAATTAAAATAACATTAAAATTTGTGAATTTTAAAAATTAATAAAATGAGAAAAAAAACTTTCCGTCGAAAAAAGTCATTCATGTTTGTCATAAGAACAAAAAAAAACGTGTATGATTTTGTATGGATTTAAATAATTTGAAAAACGGCAGCAACAAAAAAGGGCTTTTTTAATGTGAATTTTTAGTTAAAAATTAATTTTAAAAGTCGAAAAATTTTTTTAGATTTTTAAAAAAAATTTTCTTTCAAAAAAACCGTTCATTATTCACAATAAAATTTTTCAAAAAATAAAATTTCAAAAATAATTATTTTAAAAAAAATACTTTTTATTTTTTATTTTTAAGCATAAACGTTGGAAAACAACAAAGAAAACGGCAATGCCCAACATTTGTAAAGTCAATTGAAAGTTCTTTATTCTGAAATTTAAAAATTTAGACTAAAAAATTAATTTATCATTAAATTTTAATTTTTCAGAAAAATTTTTTTGGACTCTAATAGAGTAAAGGCATTCCAAAAAAGTTAATTGTGATAGTTTCCAAGCTGTATTTTTAATTATTTTATTTATTATATATAGTGTCCACATTGAGTTACTCGTAACATTATTGTGATTTACAGGAAGCAGGCTTAGCCAACTGTTTATTGGGTTTCCGGAAATTTGTGCAATGCAAATTTGGACTCCAAGATTTTTCGGACTTTTTTGGGCTCCTTCGGAAGTTCGGACTCTACGTAAAAAACGAAATAATGGGTGCTCTATGATTTGGACGCTAAGTTGATGGGATCAAGCGCCCAAATTCTACACGCATCCTAGTGCTCAAACTCCCTGGATCCCGTTTTCTTTGGTTAATTTTTAAAGGTTTTCTAAAGTCTTAATGTGTTCTTATTTTTTTTAATTTTAATTATACCAATTTATTATTAGTCAACAATTTAGCAACAATAGCATTTTTAGAAGCAGTTGTTTCAAGTACATTAATTGCTTCAATTAAATAAATATTTGCCTCACAAAAGAATTCTCTTTTATATTTTTTTATAAATGTTGCTACTTCATCAAATGTTTGGGCAGCACTGAGAAAATGTTCTTTTGAAGGTGTTGATAATAAATTATTTAATCTAAAAATATTTTTTATTTATTAAAATTAATTTTATGTTCTAGAAATCCCTCTCCTCCGCAGAAAGAAAGGACAGCGTTCGCTTGTTTTCTCTCTTTTCCCTAAACTCAACCACTTCTAAATACTCAAATTTTGAATGGCCCTAACTCGACCCAAAGTCATTTTCTAAAAAAAACCCTCATCACTTTGCAATAGGAAGTCGATGGTTTTCTATCAATTGGTACCAAAAAATTATTAAATTTTTGTACACAGTATCCGATGTTTCCTTGTCAGGGAACAACTTCTAGTTAAATTTGTATTTTGAAAACAAATTTTTTTGGAAAATAGATCTAGGGTGTATTCTTATAATTATTGGTATTCCTGACATGAGAGTAGATAAGTATCGGCTTTAAGCAAACTATGACAACAAAAAATCTTTCAAAAATAGTCACATAGAAATTAGAGGGAAGCAACTATACTAGATTGTCATAAAATCCAAAAAAAAATTTTTTGGAAGGGCTAATGAGGAAATTTTGTTTCTTATTAAATAAGGTAGACGAGACTTAAGGACTCTGTACTAATATCCCCATAAAAATCTTTTTTTTTTCAAAAAATTTTGTTTCACTTTAAAACTCCCCAAACTAAAAATTAACACTTAAAAACAAACTTAGAATATTCCAAATAACGTTCATAATCATAATAAATCATATCATTCAAAGAAGAGAATAACATAAAACGTCTATTATACCGCAACATTTCTTCTTCAGGTAAAACAATTTCTTTACTTGTAATTAATCCAACCATCATTTTAAACATTCCACGAGACATTATAGCTTCAATTCTGTTAAATAATACAAAAAATTATTTTTAAGAAAAATAATTTCGAGACCGCATTCATTTTCAGACACCCCCAAAATTTAAATTTTAAAGAGAGAATTACTCCAAAATTAAAAAAAATCGAGAAGAAAAGTTAATAGGAAGTTCTCAAAATATAATATTTGTTGATTTTCGAAGGAAAATCAAAAAAAAATTAACTATTATAGAACACCTCCACTACCAATTTAAAATTTTTTTAATTATTTTAACTGTAGCCAAAAATTTCGCATTTTTTGCACCATCGTGTAGCATCGTATACCAATAGATTAGCGAAATTCTTGGCTACAGTTCAAAACGTTCCCTTGTTAGACCAAAAGAGTATCTAAAAACTCAATTCAAAAAAAATTTAAAAAAAAAACAAACTTGTAACACAAAGATTTTACTTTCATTTCAGTCAATCTACTTCGATATTGTTCTTCTGTCCTAGATCTACTACGGGAACGTTTACTCCTTGAAGTTGGACTCCCAGCTATTCTATCCAATTTACGTTCCTTCTCGTAACGTTCAATTTTGTCAAAATCTGGAAAAATTTTAAAAGAAATAATTTAATGTAAAATAAGAACCTCTATGAAATTCTAAAAGAAGATTATTAATTCTGTTGTAAGTCATTTTATTTAGAGTACGAGCGACAACCTCTCCAAAATACCTTGAAAATTAAATTTAAAATGAAGTTTAGAAAAAATATAAATAACGAAGACAAAGGAACTTCTTGAAAAATATTTTTTTGTAAAAATTCTAATTGTAAGTAAAAAAGAGTATAGCGGTCGTCCCGTCCCAAAAAATAGCAAAAAATTGAATGAAACTTGATCTTGAGAGCTCCCCGCTGCAAGGAACCACGGCTGAACGTTTTAATTTTTTAACAAGATGGGAGGAACTGTCGGTCTTACAATGATAAGAGGGGAAAATGAAAGTAAGATATAAAAAAACCCCAACTAAAAAAATTAAATTAAAAAATGTATAGAGGTGATTCAGGCCTAAAAACAACAAAATTAAAGACCCGTATATTCCACCGGTCCCCTTCTAGGGAATAAACAAGAGAATCAAAAAAAATTTTTTTATTAAAATCCTTACCAATAAACATAAATAAATTCAAAAGGCAAAAATAAACGTAATTGAAATCCAATCCAAAAATAATGATGCATTGTTTCCAAAGTTGTGTAGAGAAAAAAATTAGAGAGAGGATATTCCATTTTATTTTCTAATTTAAGCCTTTCAATTAAAGGTGGAAGAGGAGACATTGGTTGAATAATTTTTGTATGTTCATTAACATCACTATCATCATTAACTGGAACACCTCCAACGCTTAGAACGAGTCCTTGAGTTTGGAAAACTCTTAAACGAATACCTCGCATTTCGTCTTCAAGCTGTGTTGCCTTAAAAATAAATTTAGAACATTTAGTATGGAAAGTTATCTATTCAAACGCAGGCAAAATTTCAAAATCATTGAGAGCAGGCCCGTTGTCCAAAGTACCGCGAGGCACCAAACTTTAAAGTTATAGGAACAATTTTACAATTTTCCCCCTTTACTTGATATTATAATGCTCATGTATCTTGTTGAATTGTACGCGGTACCTTCTGCGGTACCCAAAAATATTCTTGCGAGATTATGCTATTGTTATACAAAAATCTCGCACGTCTTGCGACAGAAAAGATCACGGAAAATGAGAGAAAATTGCGAGAGATTGTATCTCACCATTTTGCATGCTATTTCCTGTTACAGACAATTAAACCTAAGCAATCAAAATTTCTTATAAAAACATCAATTTTTAATTCAAAACTCATGTTCGTTTTATAAAAGGTCATTAGTTGTAAGAAAAAGAATAATTGATAAGTGAAAATTAAAGTCTCAAACCTCATTAATTAAAATAGAAAAATCATCAAAATTAACATGAAAAAAGTCCCATTGTCTAGCCAAATTGTTGCCATGAGTTTGATAAAGGCAAGTATAGGCACGTTCAAAAAGGCCAAAAATTTCGTTAAATAAAACATTTAAATGAGGAAAATATGAATTGTGTTGACTAAAAAAATTGGGGAGAATTAATTAATTAAAAGAAAAAACATACGCAATAACATCTTGTATATTATTATTCATAAGGTAACCACAAAATCGATTAACTGAATTGAAGGCAATTTGCATAAAAGGAATTGTGCCAGTTAAATTGTGCCGATTTAGAGGGAAAAGCTTTGAAAAAGAAAATTGATTCTTGATTAAAAAAATAATTTTTTAAAAATTTATACAATTAATTGAAGAACTGAACGTGTAAGAATGTTACTATGAAGATCACCAAATTTTTTGACCAATTCCTTAAAAGAAAAAATAAAAATATTGAGACCCACTCTTCCTAAGAAAAATATTAATGTAAATAAATCATGAAAACTCATTCAAGAAAATGGGATGGGATTTGGTCCTAACAATAAAAGATTTCCGATGATAGATTTTTTCCGATGTAAGGTATTCCATCACCGCCTGATCGTTTCATTTTTTGGTTTATTTGCTAGACTGAGAGGAAACCTCGCCGACTAGGTCGTTCCTCAACTCGAACAATTATCTTATACAAGAAATCGAATATAAATTCGCAATAGGAAGTTGGGGTCTTCTATAGAATGGAACGAAAAAATATCGAATCCACAGTGACAGTAAAAGAATTCTTTCCCTGAGAGAACTCTCCGATGCTTTTGTTGTTAACCCTCAACCATCCCAATACCGACTAAACATTTTTATTTATGGCCTTATTTTCTAGAGTGGGAAAAAGACCTTACAACTCCAATAATTAATTTCTTTATTTTTATCAATCCAAGCGAATGGAATGATCCCGAAATGTCAAACCGATCCACCAAAATTAAATTAAAAAATAAACCAAAATTCCCCAAGTTGTAGTCACATAATCAGGCACACTCATAATAATTTCTCCAATAGTTTCAAGTGTATCTTCAATATATTTATAACCTTCTAATCTCGAAAATAATTGTAATTTCCTTGGAAGTCCAGCAGTTGACATATAAAGATATGTATTACTATCAAAAGTTGATAACCAATCAAAAAGTGAATCCCTTTCATCTTTAGGTGGTTGCTTTCCAAAATTTATTGTAGCCAATATTCTTTTGTGGAAATGTAAACATTTTTGAAGTTGTTCTCCAGCACTGTTTAAAAATAATGTGAATTTAAAGGAAAATTTATTTAAAGATGGATTTTTCTGTTGGGATATTTTAATGGTAGGGCATTTATTCGAGTAGATTTTCTTTTAATTTTCAAAACTTGGAGAAAATTAATTTTGAATTTATTTTTAACCAAAATAGGCAAACATTGAATTTTTTAGAGAAAGCTTTTTAGTCTTTAATAACAAAACTTTTTCATCAAGAGTCGATCGGAATTGATGAAGATGCAGGAAAACGGAACTCCGGATATCGGAAACGGCTCATGTCAGAAGTTGACCGACTTTTGCCTTTCATTATAATTTCCTCGCCAATGAAAATTGGCAGTCTATTCGAAATTTCAATTTTATAAAATTTCTTGTCTTTTAGGTGATCAAAACAAAATACAACTCAAAAAAATTTAAAAAAGAAACCTGTATAAATTTGGAATAAAAGGGTCAATTTCTGTTTCATTAATACCCGCATTCAACAAATAAAGAGTCCCTTTTGAAGGCAACAAAAAATCAAACATTTCCAAAAGTGAAGAGAAAAACTCAAAACGAATAAGCAAAGCTTGAAATTCGTGTTTTTCAGTTGCGGTGTTATTCCCTCTAAGTGTTTTTCTTAATTTAGCGATTGCATCAGTCAAATTGGCAGAAACAAAAGTCCGGTCGTAACTTGGGACATTATGTCCAGTTTGTAGACAGACATCCTCCTGAAAAGTGAGATTAGATTTTCAGTAAGGAATGAAGAAAGGACTAACAAGAAGGATACACTAAATATTAGATTCTCCTTAATTATAGATAAAATTTTTTAAATTTGGTCCCTAGGGTAGTAGCATATCCGTCCCTTACACTCACGATTTTCCCAGCCTCAAAAATTTATCTTTTGGGCAATGAGATTCCTAGGATTTCGGAAGGTCTTAGGAAGGGTAAACTAACACTAAATACAAATAGTAGTTTAAGAAAAACTTTGCACGAAAAATTCAGAAAATAATAAAGATCATTTTTTAATTTATATTCAGCTAATCAAGTTAGAATCCAACTAGAAATTAAAAAAACCTCATTCGAAACAGAAGCACATCTAAAGTATAGTTTTAATAAACTAATAAAGTGTAAAGTTGCCGTTGATAGTGTATACAAATAAATATTGTTCTTGATTAATTCAGAATCACACATACACAAATTTGAGAAAATCTGAAGAAAAAATTGAAATTCAAAAGAAAAATAAGCTTTAATTTACTGTTTGATCCAAAGGTTGAGAATTCAGCCAGGAAGCGATAGTTGCAAAGGTAGCGTCAAATGTTGCAATAATTTCTTTAACAGGCAGTCTCAGAATTTCCTTAAAAATTATTGAATTGAATAAACATTGGAAACTTTGGGAAGCAAACAAATTATCTTACAAACTGACAAAGGGACTACTAAGGAAAATTAGTAATTTTAAGGAAGAAAAAATGATGGGAAAGAAAACGAAGGTAGCCTTGTTTTCATATAGGGCCAAAATTTTGCCTTTAATGGGCACCCTGTCATTTCTGCCCAGTTTACCTATTGTACCTATGGCTGCAAATCAATCATAAAGAATGATTATCAATGGCCATGTGTTAAAAATAAACTTAAAATTGGAAACATAAGGTTGAAAACTACCGAAAAAGCTTAAATTTTTCAAGAAATAAAATTATTCAAAAATAATACTTGTGTAAGTTTTGCCTTATCAGTAAAATTAAGCATTTTCCATTCAAAAAATTCCATTCCAGAGTCCATCTTCGGATCCATAATTTCTACAAAAAAATATTTATAATTTAAACTAAAAATTTAAAAAATAAACCTATAGCACTCATAGCATGGGAAATTTTAAAGTCATTTGACATGGAAAATTCGCCAGTTTCCAATTCTGAAAAGTAAAAATTGAAATTTATAATAAAAAGAAAAGAAACCTTCACAAGCTTTAAAAAATTCATTAGTGATGTCAACAAGTTTCGAACCACAAGTCAAATAAGCATCAACCATTTAGATTAATTTATCAAACTAGACGAATGAAGAAAAGACCTCAGAAATGAGAAAATTAAAGATTTTAGCTTAAAAACAAAAAGGATTTGATTTTAATCAATTTTCCAAAATGAACCCAAATCAATGAAAACAAAATGTTACTATGCGACCAAGTGCCTGCGACCAACTGGTCGTGACAAAGTGGGTAACGACAAAATGTCCGTACAAAAGAAAATAGCATTCAATAATGAGAGATCGAAGGACATTAGACAAAACTTGTTATTTTTTTCGAAATTTTTCATTTGTTTGCTTACAATTAGCGTTCCTTGTTTTTGTTTAATTTTTGATCATTTTTTCTAGCAAACTAAAAATATTTCAGCAACTTTATTTTCTTATATTCGAAATAATGTCTTCTGAAACTCAACCAATTTCTGACTCTAACACTACCGAAAATCTTCAAACGGAAGAGCACAAGCCTGAAGAGGTCGTCAAGTCTTCGGAAGAGCAAACTCCAATGGACACTTCGAATCAGACTTCGACTCCGATTGAGACTCCTGCTCCGGTACCAGCTGAGACGCCTGTAGTTACTGAGACTCCTACTCCTGTTGTGCAAGCAACTGAGGACAAACCGGCCATTGAGACTCCGACTAATGAGGCTACGCCTGACGAGGCGCAGAAGACTACTGAAGAGAAGCAACGTGATGCGACTCCGACGCCGCAGAATAAGACGGAGAATTTTGGTGCGACTTCTGAGGGTGTTGTTTCGGGCAACAAGAAGACGGTTACTTTATACTTTAATAGAAACTTTAATCGGAAATAATTTTTAGGATGATAAGGTCAGTAGCAACAACGTTTCTGCAACTAAGGCTATGCCTACGCGTCAATATCTGGATGAGACTATTGTTCCGATTTTGCTTCAAGCTCTTAGCGGTATATTTTTTAGATAGCTTTGACTTAGTTGGGATTGTTCTTTTTGTTCTTTCCTGGGCAGTTTTTATAATGAGTTAGGTTTTCGTTTCTTGACTCACTAGATTCCCAGTCTTCACCCTATTTGATTGGCCTTCAGCATTGGATTGGACATGCTTAGGAAACTTTTCGGTGTTTGTAGGTGATTCGATTTTTAGCGCTGTACTTGAAAAGTCTGTGTACCTTAGTCTTTATCCCTGTTTTAGACCTTTGATTGTGACTAACAATTCCATTCTCATTTTTCAGCTCTTGCAAAGGAGAGACCGGCCGAACCTATTGACTTTGTCGCCAATTATCTGCTGCGCGAGAAGAGCCGTTTCACCAACTCTTATTCTGCTGGTGACCACTGAATTGGTTTATTGAGACTATTGCTGGGAAGAATTTTCTGTTAACTTTGCTTTATATGTTGACCTAGAAACGATGCAAGTACTCTCTCATGATACAATTTAAACATATTTTTTAAAAGTTTAACTATTTTATATTTTATTTAAAGACTTTGCACGTTTATATATTTGTTGTTTTTTGATTATATGAGACATTTTTGTGGAAGTAAAGTTGAGGAAGATAAAGAAATTTCCGGGTGGGATCAAATGTCACTTGGTCTAAAAATTTTTTTTTGGTAGCCTTGGTTCGTTTTCATAAGTTTAACTGGTATAAGTTATTTCCATAAATGTGTCTTATTTTCTAATTTTTGGATAAATTCTTGGACTTTTCCTTGCTTTTTATTTTAAAAAATTCTCGTTGATCGAGTTATATATTTCTTCATATTTTGCTTTATTTTAATCATTTTTTAATCATATTTCGAAACAAATGGTCAAACTATTCATTGGAAATTTGCCAGAGAATATTGGTATTTGTTAAAATTTGATTAAACTTGTTTAATTTCCACATTTAAGACTCCACTCGTTTAAGAGGTCTTTTTTCACCACACGTGAGGGTACAGGAATGCGATGTTTTGAAGAATTTTGCTTTTGTGGTATACATTTCCTTTCATTTTTATTAACCTGGAATTCTTTATAGCATGTCGCTAATGAAAATGATGCCGATAAAGCAATCAAAAAATTTGATAAGTTCAGATTTATGGGCAGAGAACTTCATGTAGAGCGTTCAACTTCTCGTCTAAGAAAACAACCTGGAATGAGTGATAAATGTTTTACCTGTGGCGCTGAAGAACACAAAACCTCCCAATGTCCAGGAAATCCAAATAGGAAGCGAAACATGTTTGTTTATTTTAAATTTTGATGAATGGGATGAATTGTCCCTTTGATCGTTTTTGGGAGGATTTCGACTTTCTTGGGTCATTTTTGTAAAAATTTGGGGATTTTTCAATTTATTTTTAAGGAATTCAAATAACGGTGGACACAAATCTAATAAAAAGCCCAGACCATTAATGTTTGACAAGCCGCCTCTACGACAATTTCCTCGTCAGCCACCTTTGAATAATTTAAATTTCCCACCATTACAACACAACCAACAACATTTTCCACCATTAATGCATCAACAACCTCCATTACCACAACAATCTTTACAACAGCAACAACAATCCTGTTGGGGTTATAAAATGGGCAGTGGAGGTGGTGAAAATGATCCTGAATTGCCATGCCCTCACAATCCGTAAAAATTTTTAATTAATTTTATTTTGAGGGAAAGGGCTTTGCCTCTTTTAGAAATGAAACTTAATATTTAAGGGTTACTAGAGTTTATAGGAACTATGTGTGGGGAGTTCCGTCTACGAAATGGAAGCTTTTGGGGAATAACGTCATCCTTCCTCTTCTCTTTTGCTTACAATTTGCTTCCTGGATTTCCTTATAAAAGATGTTAGAAACGTCCCATTGTGATTGAGTCCTTAATCTTAACTAGAGTTGGCCGGTATCGGGATTCGACATAAAATCAGGATCGGAATTTGGAATAGAGATTCCGATCCCGGACAACCTTAATCTTAACCAACTAAATTTTTTCAAAAAAATTTCTTTTTAAGGGAACTTCAAAAACTTTACGAACAATACAAAGACTCGCGAACTCGTTATTTCTTTTATCGAGAACAATTATTAAAAGAATTGCGTTTACAACCACCCCAACAACAACAACAAATTTTACAAAATGACCAACACTCACAACCACCGCAAAATTTAAATAAAATTAGTGGAGGAACAGTTAATAATAATGATCAACAATCAGTTATACGTGTTGATTTGACACAACTTCTTCAACCAAAAAAGGAGCCTGATACATTGGTTTTTAATTTTGTTTTATCTTTTTTTGTTGTCTGAAAGGGGGGAGGGGATGGGTTTAAATAAAAGCCATTAATTGTGGTGAAGAAAATAAGAAAAAGTAAATGATTCTGGACCACCAGAATGAGGCGAAAAATGCGACGCCATTAAGAATAGTTTTCTGAATGCAACTTTATTTACCTTATTTTCAAACAGTTTCGCATTATTAAGTTTCACGAGAAAACAGATTTGTTCCATTTCAGCATCGCAGGCAAAATTTTTTGTGAGCAAAAGCGTAGCCTGATACAAATTAACTGTCCGGTGAATGCAGTATCAATACCTGCCCGGGGCTAAACTTTATCCCTCTCCCATACTTTTAGAAAGTATGGAAAAAGTGAAAATGGGGAAAGAATACGGCGAAACAACCAACGAGATCCGTTTTTAAAAACCTTAATCCCAATTTTGACATTGACTAGAAATTTTAATTTAATTTTCTAAAAATTAGCCACCATTACCAACATCATTATTTCAACAACAACCACCACCAACAGAACATAAACAACAACAAAAACAACAACATTATTTTAATATTCCCCCACAACAACAAAATCCATCAATTTTAACTAATCCCCCTCCATTACAAATAAATTCAATTTATTCAAATTCTTTACCTTCAATTACTTCAAATAGTAATTCACAACAACAATTATTAGAAAGTGGTGGAGTAGGAGGATTAAATTTTTCTGTTTCCGCTCCACAATCTTTTCAGTCCCAACAACCTGCGTGCGTTTATAAAAAATATACTAAATTTAATTGAGAAATTTTTTTAAAATATTTTATCGCGTTTAAAATAGATTATTTTTAAAAAAATTAAAAAGAGAAACTTTGGTTTTTACGAAATTTATTTTTTCATCCCTTCATTTTGCAATTTTTACTCTCGTCGTGAAAAAAATAAAAAAAATTTTTTGACGTATGCCTAAATTTCTAAAAAAATTTTTTTATAAAATTACAACGAGCACCACAGAATAAATTAAAAATATTCCAAAAATACCAAATTTAAATTTTTACGCGTTTTAAATTTTATAGAAAAATCCCAACATTTATTCGCGATTATTTAATTTTAAATCACTTTTTCTCATGTTTTTACAGTTATTTTTCGTCTGGAACAGAGCGCATAGGCGCACCGTCAACTTCAGGGTATTTACACAATTTTTATTGTTTCGTGCTTGTTCTTTTTCTTTAGCCTTTTTTCCGTTTATTTTAAGGTCTTGAAAACCTTAAAATTTGATTTCTAAACCTCGCGATCTTTCTTTCAAAATTTATTCCTTTTTTCGTAAAATCGCGCGTGTCGCGTCGTGATAATTACATATTTTTTCGCACACAGAAATTTTTTGATTTTTCTAAACTATCCGCGTCGTTTTCCTACTCGGAATTTTCTAAATTTTCGTGTCCTTTTAAATTTCGGTTTAATTCAAATCGAACGAGTGCGCGTCGTTTCTTTTAAATTTTTAAAATTTTCGAGAAGTCAATTTTAATTTTTCAGTTATCAAAACACCTATAATGCATTACCAACAAATTATAATACAAATATTACAACAACAAATTTGTCAATGGGGCTAACTGGACAGCAGCCACAAACTTCTAATTTAACAGCAACAATAAAGCAACCAACGCCGTTGGCATCGATTCAACCATTCCGTTTCAATTAAGATGCGAGGCAAGAAGAAAAGAGGAAGAAAACGATTTGTGAACAAATTAAAGATGATGAACTTAATAAAAACATAATCTGACTTAATCTAAAAATATTTGTGTATTTGGCGTTCTAATATTTCGAAAATAAACAAGTTTACGGAAATTTTTTTCCTTTCTTCAGACAGAACACATTTTAGAAAAACCCAATAATTCAAAAACAAAAAATCAAAGAAAAATTTTACACAAAAAAACATAAAAATAGTCAATGTCTCGTTTCACTTATTACATTTGTGGCCCTAAAGAGGGCCGTTTGGGTTTGGTTGTTTTGGTGTTCACGTTCCAGTCCTTCACGTACGCTCGCCACGGATTCGTCGGGCAAGTTGGATGTCTAAAAATTTTAAATTTTTGAAACTGATTAAAATTCTCGAAAACTCACCCTTTGGCATGATGGTGACACGTTTGGCGTGGATGGCACACAAGTTGGTATCTTCGAAAAGACCAACAAGATATGCCTCAGAAGCCTCTTGCAAAGCAAGAACAGCGCTAGATTGAAAGCGAAGATCGGTCTTGAAATCTTGCGCAATCTCTCTGACCAGCCGTTGGAATGGAAGTTTGCGGATGAGCAATTCAGTCGATTTTTGGTAACGACGAATTTCACGCAAAGCAACAGTTCCTGAAAAAAGGATTTCAAAACTAACTCGAAAAAAATAATTTTCTTGCCTGGGCGGTAGCGGTGCGGCTTCTTCACACCTCCAGTTGCCGGCGCAGACTTGCGCGCAGCTTTGGTGGCGAGCTGCTTACGCGGTGCCTTTCCTCCGGTAGATTTACGAGCAGTTTGTTTTGTACGAGCCATTGTTGTTTTTGAAAGCTGTTGTAAATTTTAAAACGTTGAACACTTTACTTTTGAAAAGTGAGGGTCAGTTAGTTAAGAAAAAGCTTTTATATCGCTGCAGTTTGATGAAAAACACGCCTCCTAACAGAAAAAAAGTGAAGCGAATTTGCCCGCCAAAAATTTAAAACATCAAATCTGTGTAGTAATTAGAGAAAAAGAAAGTAATAGACGCAGAAGTTTCCCGCCAAAAATTATTTTTTGTAAAGGAAGAAAAAGATGGAGAAATAAAAAGACTATAGGCTAGACGATTATATTAAATGTTTTGTCGCTCCCACGCGTCCTTTCTGCGTCTTTTCTCAACAATGCCCGCCCATCTTCTTTTCTTCTATTTAAGCTTTTTTCTTCGTGTCCACCTCACAGTTTCACTGTAAACAGCAAAATTAACGAGCTTTCTTTCAACTTTAACAACTCTCAAAACAATGTCAGGACGTGGAAAAGGTGGCAAAGCAAAGACTGGCGGAAAGGCGAAAACTCGATCTTCGCGTGCCGGACTTCAATTTCCTGTTGGACGTCTGCACCGAATTCTCCGCAAAGGACATTATGCTGAACGGATCGGCGCTGGCGCTCCTGTCTACATGGCCGCTGTTCTTGAATACTTGGCTGCCGAGGTTCTCGAATTAGCAGGCAATGCTGCGCGTGACAACAAGAAGACCCGCATCAATCCACGGCACTTGCAACTTGCCGTGCGAAATGACGAGGAACTTAACAAGGTTGGGAATTTCTGTTCACTTTCAAGTATTATTTTTTTAATTTTTAGTTGCTCTCTGGCGTGACCATCGCGCAAGGCGGAGTGCTTCCTAACATCCACGCCGTTCTGTTACCGAAGAAGACTGCAGGCGAGACTGCTTGAATTGCTGTGACTTCAAAAACCAAACCCAAACGGCCCTCTTTAGGGCCACAAATGTAATAAGTGAAATGAGACATTTACTATTTTTTGTGTAAATTTTGCATTTTATTAATTTTTGGAGTAATTTACTTAAAAATTTTTCTAATTTTTTTGTTGATTTCGTGGTTTTCCATCGTTTCTCGTCTGTTGAAAAACAAGATGAATTTTGAAGGCTTTTCTAGTTTGTGTTTTTATTATAAGAAAATTGTATACAAAATAAGGATTGGTTGCTTCAAAATTATGAATTCTGATAAATTCATTTAGACTATGAGGTTTGTTAAAAATAAAATATTTAAAATTGTATAAATTTTCTAGTTAATTTCTTTTGTTCTAATTTCCCATTTTTTAAATACATATTTCTTAGTTATACACTAAGGTTGTCGGATTCGAAAAAAAGACAGAATATCCGAAAATTTCCAACTAGTCGACACCTTACTATACACACGAATCATGTGACATGATTATTTATAGAGTAGTTTATTTCGTGTCGAATATCAAAGCATTGTCCACACCTCAATTTCGCTTAGGGTTCTTTTACTTTCGTTATCTTTTGTTAAATCCCTATGGCTATCGGGATCGAGATAAATATATTGAATATTAAAATTGGTAGCATAAATAGATTTTTTGTTATCTGTAGGTAAAAGAGTGTCGAATGGTATTTTACCTATCACCCAGTTTAAATTATAGAATAGCTTTTTCCAAATTTTCTGAAATATCTGAGATAACCTAGCCAAAAATATTGCTGTTTTATCGTTAACATCGTTTTATGTGACGGCTCTTTATCGGCAAACTTTTTATTCTCAATGAGGTTGAGGATTGCGTTCGTAGCAACAATTCTTTCCAAAAACCAAGCCAAGCTGTTTTGTTTTGCCCGCCAATTTTTAATATTTGCTCATCGAAGAATAAAAAACAAAACCTTCCAAAAAGGAAAAGATCGTTTTATTCTCAAGGAGAAAAAGGAGAGTAGTGACAATAACTCTACATAAACCCAAGCCAACCGAAATATGTAGTTGATGAGTTAATAAAAGGAATTGAAATGAGAAAAAATAATCTGATGAAAAAACTGTGTTTACGCTTTGAAATAATTCTAACAAAGTAAGAAGCCCCTCAATTAAATATTTTTCTTCGAAGACATAAAAAGCCAAGCCAAAGTTTTGATTCAGAATTAGTTAAAAAATGCTCATTAAAATTCAAAATAAACGTCCTTTAATGGAGTAACAAAATCCACATTTATAATCCACAAAAATCCTAAACATCTCATACTCTTTAACCCACTCTCAAGGAGATAAAAGTTGAAGGATCTTTGGGATTTAAGTAAATATCGAGGGATTTGGCAGAAAAAAGTCCCTCAACTATATAAAAACAATCAAAAAGTTCTCAGTCACCGGGGGACATTTTGGGATTTGAAGGTTAGCAGTAAAGTATATCAGTCTAGGTTTGACGTAGATCGGAAAACAAATCCGTTTATTGTTTAAAGATGGAAAACGATAGAAAAATTATAAATTGTTGAAAATCAAATGTAAGAATTATTCTGGGCTAAAGTACACTTTACCGGGCGATTTTAGATTTTTATGATTTATATGTCAATCGAAAGAGCTCGGCGAGCTGAGTCGAATGACACCAAAATTAGCCCGCGGACTCAACTATGGACCGAGATATGGGTCCCCAAAAATCGAAAAACCATAGGGGGGACCAAGCACTTTTTTGGGGGTAAAAAGTTCGAATATGCAAATTATACCTCATTCGAAAGAGCTCGTCGAGCTGAGTCGAATGACACCAAAATCAACGAAATCCGATTTGATTTGACAAAGTTATGATCTTTTATTTTAGCTCCTTACCTATGGCATCTGTGGAGATTTTCGATGCTACGGAGGCCCCAAATACGTCCAGAGCAAGGAAGATAGGAATAGGTTTATGTTACGAGCCCAGACCCAGCGCCCGTAGACTCCCCGCGAGGCGCGTGCCGCAAAACCCCGCGCGAAGCGCGGGGTTTTGCACAAGCGCCTCGCCGACGCTCCATAGGTTTAGGTTTTAGTTTTTCTATCGTAACTTTGTCCAAACTTGTCCAATCACGATGATTTTGGTGTCATTCGACTCAGCTCGCCGAGCTCTTTCGATTGACATATAAATCATAAAAATCTAAAATCGCCCGGTAAAGTGTACTTAGGCCTTATTCTGGAATTTAAATTAACTATAAGCATCTCAGTCTGAATTAAAGCTCGAATTTAACGCAAAAACCCCAAACAAAAAGAGGATCAACCAAAGCCAAGCCAAAAGTAAATATTGAAACGTTCAGTGGAGGAACAAAGACTGTGTTGGAGCACATACCTTCCTAACATCGAACAGAAAAAATGCAGCATGATAAAACTGTTTCTAACGTTTCACAAGAATTATAAAAAAATATTTAAAGTCAAAAAAGAAAATTTTACACAAAAAAAACAAATTTAGTCAATGTCTCGTTTCACTCATTAGATTTGTGGCCCTAAAGAGGGCCGTTTGGGTTTGTTTGTTGTTTTCACTGCATTTTGCCAGATGTTCTTTAACCACCAAATCCGTAAAGAGTACGTCCTTGGCGCTTCAACGCATAGACGACGTCCATGGCTGTGACAGTCTTTCGTTTGGCGTGTTCGCAATAAGTTACCTGGGAAATTAAAAAGTTAAAATCAAAATTTTTGTTAAAAATCTTACCGCGTCGCGGATCACATTTTCAAGGAAGACTTTCAGAACACCTCGAGTCTCCTCGTAAATGAGTCCGGAAATTCGCTTCACTCCACCACGACGAGCCAATCGCCGGATTGCAGGTTTGGTAATTCCTTGGATGTTATCCCGCAAGACTTTTCGGTGACGCTTTGCGCCTCCCTTTCCAAGTCCCTTTCCTCCTTTACCACGACCTGACATTTTTGTTGTTGAGAAGCGTTAAAATTTGAAGCAGCAAAATGGTTGAACAGAAAACTGTGAGGAATGCCGTTGTTTTTCGTCTTTTATATGAAATTTGAAGGCGTCGCTTGTTTTTGGCGGGAAAAATGTGGGGCGTAAACCTAGTAGAAGTTAGAGAAGAAGAAAGCAGAAAAGAGCACTATTATTTATGAGAATTTATAAAGAAAAAGAGAAATATGGCTTGCATTATCGTCATGTAACTCTCTTTTTTATCATTCTCTCTCTCTTTATTTTTCTCTTCTTACTTAACAAATAAATAAGTCAGACATTAAATATCAATAATTTTCTCTAGTCTCTAACTCTTTCGCAATTGCAGAGGAGGCGGGCCTTTTCTCTTTGTATAAAAGACTTAGGTTGACGATTCTTCTTCACTTTTCAACCGCTTTTAAAAAACAACGTACATCCAAACAACAACTTTTAACGAAAATGGCACCTCCAAAACCTTCTGGTAAAGGAGCGAAGAAAGCTGTCAAGTCAACGAAAGCTGTGCGCACTGGAGACAAGAAGAGAAAGAAGTCGCGAAAGGAGTCTTACTCGGTCTACATCTACCGAGTTTTGAAACAAGTCCATCCGGACACTGGAATCTCCTCAAAGGCGATGAGCATTATGAACTCGTAATAATTTTGTTTTTACTTTTCAGTTCACATTTTCTTATTTTAAGGTTTGTCAACGACGTGTTCGAGCGAATTGCTGCTGAGGCTTCACGACTTGCGCACTACAACAAGCGCTCTACCATCTCTTCACGGGAAGTGCAAACTGCTGTTCGTCTGATCCTGCCTGGCGAGCTTGCTAAGCACGCCGTTTCGGAAGGAACTAAGGCGGTGACGAAGTATACTTCGTCCAAATAAATGGCTCAACATCGCCAAACAACAAACAAACCCAAACGGCCCTCTTTAGGGCCACAAATCTAATGAGTGAAACGAGACATTGACTATTTAGTTCTTTTTTCTGATAAAATGTATATATTTTGTTTTTTTCTGCTATTTGTGTTTCGAGGGTTTTCTAGTATGATAGGAAATTAGGCTTTCCTGGTTGTTTGGAAAATTTTTGATTTTAAAGGGTGGGTAATATTGTCGTTTCCCAGCCCCCTTTTTTCCTCCCAATTTTCTACCCTATGTTTGTACGGGATGGTCAAAATTTCCCCTTTCTTTCATCAAATTTGCCTTTCCATATTTTGCCTAAAAACAATCAAAAAACGACACTATTACCAAATAATTTAGTAGTAAATAAAAAAGGATAAAAAAGTGAGACATGATGCCAAGGAAAAATAATTTTCCTTATTTGAAAATGTTTTTTATAATTTTTGGCATCATGTCTCACTTTTTTATCCTTGTGAAAGAAATGAATAAAAAATTAATCTTTTTTGATTGTTTTTAGGCAAAATATGGAAAGGTAAATTTGATGAAAGAAAGGGGAAATTTTGACCATTCCTTACAAACATAGGGTAGAAAATTGGGAGGAAAAAAAGGGGGCTGGGAAACGACACTATTACCAAAGCGTGTTCTGCGGCCAAAAACAAACTTGGTGTCCTGCTTAAATCATAGGGGGAAGGGATGTGAAAATCTCGACGACCTCAACAAAATTTGTAAATGGCTTTCTGTTCGAAACGAAGGTGATAATGATTTCGATGCATGGCTTGAGAAGCTTGGACTTCTTCATGGAAAGAGAACTTGCTACAAATGTGGGGGTCGAACAACAATAAGTGTTAAGGAAGACGAAAGATATGGATGTTGGCCTTGTGAAAGAAATGAATAAAAAATTAATCTTTTTTGATTGTTTTTAGGCAAAATATGGAAAGGCAAATTTGATGAAAGAAAGGGGAAAATTTGACTATTCCGTACAAACATAGGGTAGAAAATTGGGAGGAAAAAAAGGGGGCTGGGAAACGACACTATTACCGCATTTTATTTTGAGAAAAATGAAGCTTTAAATAATTTATAAATAAAACTACAATTGAAATTGAAATGTTTCTTTGTGATTTGTACAATTTTTGATATAAGAATGTGTTTCAAATAATAAAATATGTATTTAAATAGGAATATTCTCGAAATTTCAATCTTTTCTTTAACTCATTTTTTCAAAGTAAATTTTTGTAAGGTAACATCACCAACCACACTTACACGATTCACTTGTGTGGGTACAGAACCGGGAGAACGATAATAAAATTCACAAAAATGGCAACCATCAATTAATACTTTAAGGGATTCTAAACAAGCAATAATTCTTATATCGGCTGTACTTCCGGGTGAAAATGGAAAACGGCTCATTTGGCGTTCTTCTTTTTGCCATAAACCTCCTTGTGATGTGTTATTTCGAACAACGGAGCCCTTGAAAGAAAATTATTATTAAAACTGGAGATTAAATGAAGAGAATGGAAAGGGATGGCTGGATAGAGTATCTTTCAATAATCGAATAGAATATTTAAGCTCAACTCCCAACACATTCAGAAAAACTAAAAATTCAGGAACTTGGCTCACATCGGTTATTGTCCTCTAACAAATTCCTTAACAAAAACTGTTTTCTACCCCAATTTTATGTATAATAGTAGAGACGGATGAACTGAGAAGAATTTTTTAAGCCTTGTTTCAAGTCGGATTTTCAAATTTGTCCTCAGGTCGGATTTAAAAAAAGTCTGAGTTTCAGATTTTCGAATCCCCCCCCTCCCAATAATATGTAGGCCTTATAAAAATTTAAAAAAGAATACCCTATCCCCAGCAGCAGAATTTTGTGTTGGGAAATCAATTCTCATGTGGAACAAATATTCATCATTTAAACACTCCAAATTAATTGCAAAAGATATTGGATTTAATAAAGGTGTCAAAATCAACAAAATTTCTCGTGGAGGAAGAAATCCACCATTTAATTTAAAAATAAAAGGAATATTCTTTTAAAAAAATAAAATAATTTTAAAAGATAAATAAATTAACCGGTTTTAAAATTTCTATTGGGCCAGTTTCGTCTTCTATACATAAACTATCACTATTATCTTCACTTGGACAAGAAGTTATACTTCCTGGTTTCTTTAAAAAAATAAAAGATTTTATTAAAGAATTAATTTAAAAGAAATATTTTATTTTTCAAAAAATTAAAAAAAAATTTCTGGGGTTTTTTAATTATCAACTATATTACAGAAATTAATTTTCATTATAGAAAAATCCTTTAGAAAACATATAGCTGGGAGACAAAAAATAATTTTATAAAAATTTTAAAATTTAATTTTCGGCCCCCTTCCAAATAATTTTTAAAAAAATTTCTAAATAAAATAAAAACTAAACAGTTCCCTGATATTCAATAACATCAATACTAACACATCCACAAATAAAAATACATTTAATAGTTTCCAAAGGCACTCTATGCACAAAATCATTTAAATGTTTTCCATTTACAGAAATCTTTAAAAATTACAAGAATTAATTGGTTAAACTAACAGGGAAAGGTTACGAGGTGTCCGACCTAAAAACGGTCAAGACCAGACCCATTCGATAGAGAATGTGCCCTTTCTAGCAAGGATTTTGAGCCGTTTTTGCCCGTTTTTTGATTTGGCCAAGATATGGCCATTCAAAGTCCCAAAATCTAGACATAGAAAGTCAGTTAGTTGGATTTTTTGGAGCTCACATCTACCCTCTATTCCCCCATTCTTAAATAGGCCAGACTCTTCTAGTTAACCCAATTAAAAATTCAAAAGAAAAAAAACCTTAAAATAATCTCTCAAAATTAATATTCTAATAGAAAAAGATTTTTCAAAAACAAGATTGTTTTGATTTCTCTGCTCTGTCCCCCAAACATTATTAATTAAAGAATTAATTACAATATCTCTGTCAGGCTTTGAAAAGCTGAAAAAAAATTTAAAATAAATTTTAAATAATTTATACAGTGCCAGTCCACGATCAAATCTTGGATTTATATGTAAAGCCTGAAAATTTAATAAAGTTAACGGGAAATAAAAACGAGCAGGCAACGATACAGGGTCCTTATGGCAGTTATTCCTAGGTGCTTTCGTTCACCATGTATATAACGTGGTGGACGAAAACCCCCATGAATGTGAGTTTAAGAGACAAAGTCATCGCTACAACAGTTTAGTCAGAATTGACACACCTAGCCATAAATGTCAAGAATTTAATGGTTCGCTGCCTGCCCGACAGTGATGGAAAACTTCCAAAATTTCTCTGGAACCGGTTCCGAAGTTCTGTAACCGCTTTTTGAATTTCTTCGTGACCGGTTCTCGAATCCAACACTGCTGCCATATGTCTAAAACCTTCTTAACTTTAAACCAAACCTTATCGTCTCTATGTTCCCCCTGCACCAATTTGCCACAACACAAATCAATTGAAAAACGTTGATCATTTGCCAAGTCCAAAACAACACCTTTCACAAGTATGGCTTTACCCGGAAAAACACCTCCAGGAATGTCACTAGCAAAGGGGATTGTCTGAAAAATTAAAATTTAACAAAACAAAAATCAGAAAATCTCTAACTTCCCCAACTAGGAAAATTTAATATAAACTATAGAGATAGGTCTGGATACAGACTGGATTTTTCCTGGATCCAGAGTCCAGTCCAGGACAATAACCTAAATCCATCCCAGGATTTTTGAAAATACCGATGTCTAATAAATCACCAAACCTTCTCACCAACTATAAATTTAAATTTTCCACACTTACAACATTATAATGTGCAGGAACAGCAGACATTGCCATTTGTTGATTATCGTCAGCCATATTTTTAATTAACGGAATTTTAAAAGGTTCGAGTATAAAAGTACCTAAAAATAAAAAAAATTCAAAATTAAAATTTAAACAAGAAATAAACCAAAGTAAATAAAAATGAATTTTTTTCACATCACTAAAAAGAACAAAAAAATAGTTAAATTTATTTTCATATCAAAATGAAAAACAATAAATACTTTTCTTAAATTTTTTTTTCAATAGAAAAAAATATTTTTCTTAGTGTTAAGTAAAAACAACCAAAAAAAAACAAATAAATTAAAAGTCAAAAATTTAATTTTTCCAATTTTCTCTCATCCCTGTTCAATTGTCTTAATAGCCATAGCCAATACCCCTTCCTTAGTTTTAGCTCCACCAATAAATCCAGTCATATGAACAAAACCAGCTCCAGGAATGCCCGATTTTTCTTCTAATTCTTGGTCACGAAAGCCCATCCAAGGAATTTTGACTCTTTAAAAATAGGGAATTTTGTAATTTCAAAATTATTTAAAAAGGAATAATCTTCTCGTTAGAGATTAAATTTATAGGATCAAACGAAGTTAAAAGTTTATCAACGGGAAAACATCGATCCTGCGACCTTCTGACAGTTATTGCTAGGCGTTGCCGATTACCACCTAAAAGCGGTGAGCGCATTGCGTTTTTCACGATTGCCTCTTGCGCTCATCCCTGCTACGTACAAGGAGTTTACAGACTAATTTAATAGGGGGTTCTCCATCCCTACTGAAAAATAAGTCACGATTTCCCCTTAAATTTCTAAATAAATGTAAAACAAAACCGATTTTCAAATCCACTCATTTCAGAAACTGGAATTGCTTGAACTCTCCATTTTCCAGAAGTATCACTATAAACAACCAAAGAAATATTTTCATTTTCAAGTTCCATTTCCTTCTCCAATTCGAAAAAGTGTTCTTTCCAAGGAATGTGTCCAGAAGCGAAAAACAAAATTTTGCCAGATTCGTGAACCTTAAAATTGAAAAAAATTTTAATACAAATTTTTAAAATTAAAAAAAACCTCAAATCTATTTTTAATCGCTTCTTCAACAAAATGTCTCGCTGGCATCCAAGCATTCAAAAAATAACCAAGTTTCTCCTCAAATTCTTCGCCCACAATTTCTCTAGCTCGACAAAAACTTTTATCTGGGTCGGGGTTTGGGTCATTCCAAGCAGGATTGCAACTTTGAACACGCGAGTTTAATGTGCTTGCCAATTGATATCTTTAAAGAGAAATAATTGAGAAATAAATTATGATTACTTAAGTTAGCAAGGGCGTAGCTATTTTCCCCATAGTCCCCCTGAAGTGGGGAAAAGGGAAAAATATTGGGAGTAAAAGGATAGGAAAACGCCAAAATTTTGGCGAGATACAATAGTTTTGTAATTCTCTACAATAATATAATATTTAATGGAGCGTTTCTTTTATTTTTACCTCATAACAAGTTCTGAAAATATGTAAAGAAAAAAGGAAATAAGTAGTTGGGACACGATATCGGGCCTTTCGAGCTAGTCTTCGGCAAAATGACGCGATTGGCCCCTCAGCTAGCCAAATCCTAAATCACCTATACCCGACCCCAACCCTAGAAATAATTTAATAAAAAACTTTACTTTGGAGTTCCCTCATACTGATCAATTCCATTATCAATAGCATCCACTGACTCAACAAAAGTTTTGTAAAGACGCTCATATAAACGTAACAAATCTGGATTGTCTTCGCCCTGAATTCCAGTAAGATGAGCAATTAATTGCTTTCCATAATGCGCATAAATTAAACCAGCAGAGCTCAATTTGGTCTAAAAATTTTTTTAATATTTAGAAAAATGTCCGCAAATGTTTTGCGGACAAATCCGCAAATTCAAAAATTTGCGGATTTTAAACTTATTGACCTCTTAGTCAAAGGAGGAATTAAATTTTCAATTTAAAAAGAAATTGAAAGAGAAAATAAAATTCTCCCTCACCTCAAAGTCAAGCCCAGTCAAAGTCTTCATTGTGTCATTAAAGTCCCTTTAAAAACACAAAAATAATAAAATTAAATATGCAAAAACCGTTGGTGATGATCATAGCGCTTAGTTCGATGATCATAAACACCTCCAACATCCACAACAATTTCACATTTCTCTAAAAACGAAAATTTTTTATATTTGCCAAATTGTCCGCAAATATTTTGCGGACAAATCCGCAATTTATATTTATCAAAACAAACCCAAAATTGCTGGATCCCGGCTTCTAACAATTTGATAGTCAGCAAAATTAGGCAACTTCTTTAGCATATAGCAAGCAAAAACTTCGTCACAATGAAATTTTCCATCGTGAGTCCCAATCCAGTTATTATGCATTCTCTGGGAAAATTTAAGGAAAGGAAAAAATAAGCGATTAGAAAATAAACGATAAATTTTTCTGGAAAAAATAGAAATGTAAATTTTGATGGGGATTATAGAAAAATAAGTGAGATTATGAAAAAATAAGTGAGACATGAATTAATAAAAGAGCGGCAAGTAAATAGAAGTTAATTAAATAGGTACAAAAGTTTGGATTAAGGTTAAGTAAAAGATTAATAAAAAAATAGAAAGAGGAATAAATTCAAATGTTTTGGGGAAATGTTGGATAAAAAAGAAACATTTACCAAAACGAGGGAATTAGTAGTTTTTTGAAATGAAAGGGGGAAGGGAAGCATTTAAAATAAAACAAAAATAATCTTAACTAAATCTGTCCATTACGTACAATCTTAGGGAAGGAAAAAAAAGAAAAAATGGGGGGACCAGCTTCAGAATTATCAAATCTTTCAGTCAATAAAAAGTTATTTTTTAAGTAAATGACCTTCATTAAAGTCTAGACAAAAAATATGCGTCGATAGTGTAAGTATGAAAGGGGGAAAAATAAGCAAAAAATTTGTTGTTGAGAGCATAACGAAATTAAATGAGTCATTAAAAATTAACCTTTTTTAGTTGTTTTTTGAGATTTAAAAGTAAGGATTAACTAAATTTTAAGAAAAAAAGGATGACGTCTAAAGAAATCCCTCATAAACCAACTAACGAGGAAGAGATTAAAATTGTTTTGCTAAAGGAAAGTGAAATAACCCCTCTACTAGAACAAAAACAACAAACAAAAGGATTAAAAGACAACAAAACGTGAATAATTTTCGTAAATATTATTTATCAAATAACAAAAGTTTATCAGAAACTAACATTCATTCCTTTATCAATTTCTAAAAAACTAATTTTTTTCTCTGATTCTCTAAACTCTCTAACTTTCCAATTATCTCTAATTAAAAAAGATAAAAAGTCAAAAAAAACATAATGCCAAAAATTTTAAATTTAAAGTAAAATTTGAATTAAAGTAAACGTCAACTAATCAATTTTTAAGCTCAACGTCAGCTTATCGAATGAATTCTTTCTTTTCTTTCTTTTAATCTTTATTTCTTTAAAAAAATAATTTATTTAAAAATCTTTTTAAGGCTAATTTTAACCATTATTCTTCTTTCACAGCAAAATGGTTAGTGGAAGTACTCTTCATCGAGCCTCACAACAGGGATGGACTCAACGTGCTTTAAATTTAGCTTTTTGTGCTGGTGGTATAATTGTTTGTTATGGGGCCTTTAGCTTTTTTCAAGAAAAAATGTTTGTTTTCTTTTAAGGTTTTTTTAATTTTAAAAAATTTTTCCCCTAAAAAATTTTGCCCTAATTCTTGTCCTGTTTTTGCTTTAATTTTTTTATATTTTTTCCCTAGCTAAAAGGATCCCTCTCTTATTTTTTACATTTACTTTTTGACTTTTTTCAAATCCTTCCCAATCCTCTCCACATTATTTAAAAGTTATGGGGCCCAAAATGTATTTATAAGAAGAGTAGAGGGTTTCTGGGTTTCTTTCTGATATACCCCCCCTCTCTCCCCTAAGAATTTCCTCAAAAATTCAAAAAAAAATTTTTTTCAGTACAATAAAAACTTACGGAGAAAAGAACGAAAAATTTATTTATATGCAAGCACTAGTATTTTTTCAATGTATTTGTAATTTATTATTAGCTACAATAGTGAAAAATAATGGAACAAAAACAGCAATTATTAGAGATAATGTGCCTTCTTTTATGTATTCAATTTGCTCTATTTCCTATTTTTTGGCAATGCTTTTTAGCAATATGGCTTTGGAATGGGTTAATTATCCAACACAGGTTTTTAGATTATTTTTTTATTTTTATTCTATTAAGGAGTGGGCACTTGAAATTTTTTTCGAATTTTATACTTTCCGTTTTTCAATTGCAAGTGTTCCTTTAACTAACAAAAAAGCCTGTTCTTTTATTTCTTTATAAAAGAAAATTTAATTTTTCCTCTCAAGATTTTTGTGGTGTAGTGGTATCATTTCTGCCTACACTTTTTTCTCGTCAGGGTTCGAACCCTTCCGAGCCAAACACTTTCTTTTGTCTATTTTATTGTTTTTAATCAAAAATTTTTCCTTTTTTTTACTAATTTTATTTCAAAAAATTTTTTCAGATTCTCGGAAAATCTTGTAAACCAATTCCAATAATGCTTTTTGGTGTTTTCTTTGCTCATAAGCGCTACCCTCTTCGAAAATATTTTTATGTTTTATTAATAGTTATTGGAATGGCTATATTTTTGTATAAACCTGGAAAACAAGTAAAACATTTTGAATTTGGAGCAGGAGAATTACTTTTGTGTGCATCTTTGGCTATGGATGGAGTTACTGGGGCTGTGCAAGGTTTTCTTTTGAATTTTATTTTAAATAGAATAAGGAAGAAAAAACAATATTTTAGTAGACAAATAATTTTTTTTTTAAATAAAATTAAAAAAAATTTTTTTGAATTTTTTTCTTACACAAAATAATGTTTTTTCTTAATTTTCTCCACCCTAGAAACACTTATCCCTCACTGTGTACCCTTAGTTAAGTGCAAGTGTGTTAGAGTTTCCGTTTGGAATGGTAAAGGTTCGAACCCTCTCGGGTCCCTAACCCTTTCTACATTCCTTTTTTATATATAAATTATTTTTTTAAATTATTTAACAAAATTTTCATTTAATTTAAATTTTTTAATCAAATTAAATTTAAAGATCGAATTCGTCATTACTACACAACCGATAAATGGGCAATGATGTTCTCGATGAATGCCTTTTCTTCAGCATTTCTTTCTTTAATGTTGGTAGTCTCTGGAGAATTAATTGCTTTTTTCAATTTTCTTGTTGCCTATCCTGGAGCTTTAAGGGAAATTTTATTGTTTTCTGTGTCGGGGGCTGTTGGACAGGTTTTTTTGAATCAAAAAAATTTTCTAAATTTAATTTATTTCAAGTGTTTCATCTTCAAAACAGTCACGGATTTTGGCCCTCTTACTTGTTCTATTGTTACAACATTACGAAAAGTATAAAAAAAAAGTTTGGCTCTTTTACAGTTTATGTGTCCCTTTTTTTCTAAGTTGGCCTTGGGTTCCTTAGAATTTTTTTGAGGTTGACTTGACATCCTTTAGTCAAAATTTATGAGCAAGCCAACGGCTCTAGGTCGTCTTCGGCACACTGAATCGGGACGATACCAGAATCGTACTGATGAGATTTTTGGAATTTTCTTTACTTGCTCACCGCCACTTTTCAGTACTTGTTCGGTACCGGAAAAATTTATTTGCCGAACTCGAGTCCAAAGTCAATTCCTATGGGGCGCATAAACTGTAAAAGAGAGCCAAAAGTTTCTTTAAAAAATCAAAAAAAAATTTCCTTTTTAGTTATTCAGTCTAGTCTTCTCAATTCTTCTTTTCTCCCATCCATACACAAACAGACACATTTTAGGAACAATTTTAGTGTTCGCAGCCCTTTTGCTAGACGCTCTCGATAGTCGAAAAAATCATCAAAAAGAAAAAGAGAAAAATGGCGGAATTGGTTACAAGCCTATTCCTGTGGAAGAAAAAAGAACTTGAAAAAAAATTTTAAAAAAGGTTTGGAAATTTATTTTTTTGGATATTTTCTGAAAATTAAGAGAAGGAAAAAATTTTTTTTTAATTTTCTCCCATAACTTTTTCAAAAATGTTCTCTCTCTTCTATTTAAAATATTTTTACATTCCAAAAAAAATATTAAAAAATTTTTGTTGAATTTTTTTAAACATTTTAGAGAACTAAAAGAAGTCGTTAAAATGATTTTATTTTGTTTGTATTAACACACAATTAAATCTTCAATTTTGTTTCTTTTTTAATTTTAGTATCTTCTCTTTATTGTTAATTTTGATTTTTTCTTCAATTTTTGGTTTAAAGTAAAAAATTATTTAAAAAATATTTTATTTTTTATAAAATTTAAAAATATTTTATTTTTTATTTATTTTTTATAGTTTAGCTTGTTACTTTAAATTCTCTCCATCTAGGTCTCACTATGATAGAGTAAAAGGGAAAATTGCATCCTCGTCCGACTCCCCTCCCTCCTATTAGAAATGGGGAAAACCTAATTTCTTAAGGATGGTATAAAGCCGTAATACCAAATGCTTAAATACAAAATAAATACCAAATTTTTAACAACCTTCCCCGTTGTTTTTTGCACCTACATTTTTACAAATAACTTTCTTATTAAAAAAATTAAAACAAAATAAAGACCAGCAAAAAAGTTTATTTTTGTGCTATGAAAAGAAAGGGAAAATTTTTTTAAAAAATCGAAAAAGAAAAACAATTGCGCACCCAAAAATTTAAATCTTAAAAATTTCCTCAAAAAAAAACTTTTTTTTTGAGTGCGCTTTCCTTCCCAACAAATATATCACAGTGGAAAAATAGAAAAGGTACTGACAAATTAATTGGATGTGTTTTTTTATTTGGTTGATAGAAAAAAGAGAAAATTAAATAAAATCTACCACCTAAATAACCCATTTTTTTTTAAAATAACAGAAAAAATTATGAGGAAAATTAGTGCAAAAAGAAGAAAATTCACATTTTTAGAAAAATAGTATGCAAATATTGTTTAAAAAAGGGAAACCATATATTTTCCCGAAATTAATAAATTTTTTGGTTTTTGTCCAGATTAGGCGTCCAATGACACTTTTATAGAAAAATAATTACCCCAAATTTACCCCAAAAATATACCATAAAAATGTCAGGTTGGTGTCCTACCTGTCTTCAACTTGAGAAAAAATGCAAGAAAAGGAAGGAAAGATAAGCATTCTTTTTGCGAACAGGTAGGACACCAACAGGACATTTACCCCTTTATACGTCCAACGAAAAGTTTATATACATAGTCCAATCACATTTTTATGCATAAATTACTGGCAATAAATACTCATTTCTGCGTTGTTAGCACGCAAAGCTGAGTACTTATCACCGTATATTGGACTTATAAAAAGGTTGTTTGTTTAATTGATTGGACGCATAATCCCAGGGTTTCGATATCTGCGGATTTTTCCTCATTTTGTGGTTTTTTGATAGAGCGATGAGGATTATTTTTTAAAATGCGGATTTGCGGATTTTTGTGGCCTTTTGAAGATTATGAGGATTTTTTATATTTTTTTGTGGTTTTTAGCAAAAATGTCATTATTTTTCCGCTAAGACTTTCTAAAATCCTCAAAATTTTCGCATGCGGCGCTGAAAATGGTGAAATCTGGCTTCTTGGCCTTCCAAAATTCTCAAAATTTCCGCCTGCGGCGCAGAAAAGGAAGTGTCCTTGATCTTCAAAATCCTCAAAATTTTTTGCCTGGCCTGAAAATGAACGATTTTTGGCTTAAGGATCTTCCAAAATTAAAAAAATTTTCGCCTGCGGCGCTGAAAATGGAAGAAATAAAAATTTGCGACATCTTCCTCGACAAAAATGCAAGTGTAATTTTTCAGAATGTAGTTGTCGGATTTTCATAAGATGATCATTAGTAATAAAAAAATTGCTTAATTTAATTGTAGAAGACGAAAAATACAATGCATAAAGTAGAGATCGGAATTTTTTCCGTACCGTACTACCGATACGGAATACCGATAAATACCGAAAAATACGGCCGTAGTACGGTACGGTCCGATCTCTAGCATAAAGTGATTTTAGTTCAATTTTTGTGTTTGATAATTTCTTGCGGATTTTTGATATAAAATGCGGATTTTTTCGATCAATTTTGCGGATTTTTAAAAATTCGAGATCGAAACCCTGCATAATCCGGACAAAAGCCCCTAAATTTTTTGGTTGAAAGAGAAAATTATTTTTAATAAAATTTTTTGATAGAAGTTACTAACTTTAAGAGAGAGATTTGCGGACAGATTCCAAAATTAATTTTTCTCTCAAACAGAAAAAGCTATAAAGCCAAGAAACCGAGAATATAACCTAAACTATCCGCAAATCCCCCTCCTTTTAATTTTTTATTTCTATTTACCCCAAAAAATAAACCATTTATTTGTTTCCAATTCCAAATCCTTTGATTACAAAAAAAATTTTTCCTCTCAAATTTACTGCCACTGTCCAAGCCCTTAAAATAAAAAAATTAAAAAAAAAGATTAAAAAAACCTGAAGACGAAGAAATATTTTGTCCTCCAGAAGAAGATTTTTTGAGCTCATTCAAAGTTGGTGTCGCTTTTACTGGCGATTTGAGCGAAAGATTATCAAAATCTATATTTACTCTAAAAATTTTGAATTTTAAAATTTTCAAAAAATTCATTTTTCCCTTACTTTCCTTTAAAATCCTCCCATGTTTTTGGCAATTTTGGCTGATTTTTTATAGTTGTTGAGTTAGTTGTTGTTGTTGTTAGTTGAGCAGTAGCTAGAGAAGAAATATTAAAAAAAGCTTCTTGCTGTGGAATTTGAACAGAATTTAAAAGATTGTCAATTTGATTAGTTGGTGTTAATGTTGGGTTTTGTATAGCCGGTGGCATAAATTCTGAAAAAAATTTTATTTTTAAATAAAATATAAAAAATAACGGGGGAAAGGAAAAAGAAAAAGTAAACTTTTATTGGCGCTGGTCAAGTTTATGCGTCCAATCATAAAAAATTGTACTTTTCATGATATTGCAAAGTTGGGGTTAAATTTTTTGGTTTTAAAACATTTCTTATCAGGACCTAAGCCCACTGTGTCTGGAGCATTCCTTACCCTTTTCTTCGAAATTTCTGAAAGTTATAATAAATAAGTCGCAACTATGTATGTGTGTGAACGTGAGTGAACTTTCCCAAAAAAAAACTATCAAAAAAAGCTATGTGGATATGAACGTGTTTTATAAAAAACGGAAAAGCCTAGTCTTTTGTAAAAATTTTTGATTTTTCGGACAACTAAATTTAATTTATAAAAAAAAGTTTACCATTTTGTATTATTGGCTGTGTTGGAGCCGAAAACAAATCCAAAAGTTCTGGAGCAGCAGAAGGAATTGAAGGTGTTGATTGAACAAAATTAGTAGTATTCACATTTTGTGAAGCTATTGGAGATATTGACTGTTGTTGTTGTTGAGACTTTGGACGTTCAATAAATATTATGTTAGATTCTGGTAAATTTTTTGATGAAGAAAAAGGATCAAAATTTCCAAAATTTTGTTGAATTTTTGTTTGTTTGTTGGTTGTTGGAACATCTCCAATTAAATCCAAACCTAAAAAATCAACATCTCCTCCACCTCCACCACCGCCACCAACAGGTTTTGAATTAGCCAAAGAAATATTTTTTGAAGACGAAAATGTTGGAATTGTTTGTTTTCCATTTGTTGGGGCAGCAGCTCTAGCAGATGTAAAATCACCAAATTCTTCATCTTCTGCCTCATCTAAAGGTTCTGGCGTTCTCTAAAAATATTGAAAAACTTGAAAAATGTAAAGATCGGATTTGGAACAGATTTCTTAATTTCTCAAGATAGTTGAAGGTAAAGAAAATATATAGGACCATAATTAAAACAAATCTAACAAGGGAACATGATCTCTAAAAAATCGATATTTCTAGTAGTATTCGATAGAGGACCCCAATGTAAAGTTATTTTTGTTAGAAAATGGTTTTGCTTTACATAAGGAGGACGATAGTCTTTCAGTGGACTAAAAAATATTTTTTTGCAGAGTAAATTCGATTATATCGCGAATTATCCTATATAAGCCACGGGGGAAACAAGAAAATATTGTAAATGACTTTGGAAATTGAGAACTGAAATCAAGGTCAACAATAGAAAATTAAAAAAAACCTCTCTAATTCCCAATTCCGGAGAACCACTTGCTCTTGAACGTGAATTATCCGCTGTATCAAAATCAAAGGCTGTAACTTCCCTTCGGGCACTATTAGAACCGCTACGAGAAGTTGATTTCCATTCTTTTTGTTTCTCTTCTCTTTCATCCTTTTCAACTTTCTTTTCATTCCAGCGCTCAAAAGAATCGAATTTTGAGGAATTAGAGCCTCCTCTATATAACATATCATCCTTAGAAAATCCTTGGTATTTCTCTCTCCCATCAGCCTTTGCTTTACGACGCTCATTTCTCAACAATTCATCATCATTTAATAATTCCAAAATTAATTTGACACGATGACGAACTGAAAAATTTTTTAAATTAGATAAAATGGGTATACATCTAGTTAGTTCTCAAAGAGAAACGATCATTAGTAAAAAACGAATAACAAGTAGGAGAATGGGGGATTTAATAGACTAACATAAGAAACAGACTTCACGATAAAGTCTTATTTTACAGAATATTTATAAGTCCGGGCCTAGAAAGGTTTCTTAGCCTGTCGGATAGAGTCGAAGAAACTCCAGGAAGTTCAAAAATGCCTAGTGTTAGGTATAAGGGACCCCATTTTCGGGGATCGGGTCGGCTAGATCCCTGTCAGGTATATATCTAGAAAGCATCAAGACCTTAGCTCACGGCTTAATCTCTACCAAGTAAAAGACGGAATTTCTAGAAAGGTCCCCTAAAGTACAATCTCCAGCTAACCAATTTTTAACAATAAAATAATACCATTTGCCCCTTCATCTTTTCCTCTTTCATCAACACATTTGTAACTTTCCAAAGCCCGCATTTCAAAAGAATGATCACGGGCTGTAGAAATAACTCGTTCGCTCCCATTTTTGAGCAAATAATTGAGCAAAATTAAGGACTAGAAATATATTTTCTAGTTAAATTCCAAAAATTCCAAAAACCTTGTAAACACGTCTCCAAGCCATTTTATTGTCCTATAAAAAATATTTTCTACATAAACTATCTATCAAAAAACCTGTAACAAACGCTTCCACAACATTCCCATAACCTCAGTAAATTGGTCATACTGAAAGGTTAAACTCGCAATTTCTTGCATTTCCGGCCCTGTTGGTCCTGTAAAAAACAAAATTTATTTTTAAAATAAAAATTAATTTAAAAAATACCCCAAGGATCTTCATTAGTAGCCTCACGAACTTTCTGCTCAGTTTCAGTAAAATTCATAACATAACCTTGACTAAAGTAAAATTCTTTTTAGAAGCAAAAAACATCAATCTCTTACACTTTATCGCCCAATTTGCGCACTTCATAGCTGTTGAGGGTTTGTTGTACACTTTTTGTAAGACTGGCAATTCCTTGAAGCTGAAAACAAAAATAAAGATTTCTGTGGCTTTTATCAAAAACAAACCAATTCTGACATTTCTCTTCAATTATGTAGAAATACTAATTTTAACTTATCTAGTAAAATACAAAAACTTTTTAAATAAAATTCCGAATTAAAATTGTACAAACAATTATTCTTTGTACAAACATTAAATGGGCGCATAACTTAAAAATCGATAAAAAGAATACGAGAAGGAAAAGTTTTAAACTAAAAGGATCTCTTTGCAGATCAGCCATTATTATTCGAATAACTTTGAGGGAAAAGATCCGAGAGAATTCAAACGCTAAGCTTCTAAAAGGGATGTAAAATACTCTAGAAGTAAAATCATAAATCTTTTTTAGATGCACACATTCATAATTTATATTGAGTGAATTTAGCCACTGACTCACAAAAATCACGATCACAAATAAATTTGGAGAATCAGAAACTCCAATTAAGGTTAAAAGAAAAGTGTTTAAAATTTATTTTAATTTTAAAGCAAATGAGAAAAAAAAGTCCGAGGTTCTATGCGAACAATAAATAAATAAGAATCATAATAAGAATCAAGATTTACATGGCAATATAGATATATTTATAAGTAACTCCATTAATAATTTGATGAAAGTGTGGAATCTTTACCAATTTGAATGAACTTTCTTCCTTCTTATCATTCGTGACGTTCACACATTTCAAAAATTGAATTTCTTCCGATTTGGATTCACCCAATTTCTTCTGTTCTTCCTTCTTTACCTCGCCATTAATACTTCGATTCAAATCCTTAAAAAGTACTTCCATCTTGGGTATCTTCAGGTCTTTCGCCTTGATCTTTCTTTTCCCATATCTATCTACATCTTTTAAAAAAACTTCAAGGCCTTTACGAACTTCGTTGTGGTCCAAGCTTCGAATGTCCAACAATAAAACGTTGATTGTTTCAAAATAATTCGCTATAACATAATTAGGAAGGCCACTATTGAAACCATAATGATGAGAACTAAAAACAAGTTAAGTATAAAAATTGGAAAGAAAATGGACATACAATCAGGGTAATACCGAAGAGTGATTTATTTACTTAGAAACGAAAAGAAGTATTACAAGTTATGCTAATCAAAATTAGAAAACTTTTTTATGAAGAATGTTCTTCAGGGCAAAAAGCGTAAGTCGGAATAGGCCTTAACTCAAAAGTTATTTAAGATCAAAACTAACTCTTTTGAAGAGTCGTAGACAAGTCTTATCAGTATTTTTGTGTTAACTGCGGGAGCAAAATTGGAAGCGTAGAAAAGTAGAATCTTGGTAGCCTTAAGAGTGGCTACAAAAATGCCAATCTTGGCAAATAACAATCTGATGGTGTGATGGACAGTCTTCCAAACCTGAAAAATTTAAATCAAAGTTGTTTTAAACGATTAAAAACATCATCGCAAACGTAGACAGTATCTGGAACTTCAAGCACAAGGTTAGCTTTTGCTTCTTTCAAGAATCTCTCAACATTATAATCTTTACTTGGAAACTAAAAATAAATTTAATAATCAAAATATTATAAAAAGAATGTATTCTTGAATCAATTTTCAAGAACATTCTATATGTTAAAAAATCGAGAAATCAAAAACAAACCCGCAAAGCCAATATGTCACATATCATAGCAGCGCCAATTGAGATATCATCAGCCTTTGCAATCACCGGCTTTCGTCCAAACATTGTGTCTGCCATTTTTTGTCGAAACTATTTGAAAGAAAAAAGTTTATAAATACCGGGATTTAGGCAAATCTCATTGATTAAGAAACTAAGCATTAATTTAAAAAAACCGGTACTATGCGTTTATATCCCCGCAATTCTGCAAATGTTTGTCCGCACTTTTTTTCATTCTTTCTCCTCAAAAAGGATTAGAAACGGTCAACTTAACGTCCATTTTTTCTTCGCCTTCTTTCTCCTCTCACAAAGATTAAAATGTTCAAGTAAAAATAAAGGAAGACAAATTTTATATAGGCGAAAAATATAGGCGAATGGTACCACTCTTTTTCCCGTAAATGCCTGTGGACCGAGATATATGGCTCAGAATGGTCAAAAACCATCGAGCAATTATCGTAACTTGTATCGTAACTATGTCCAATCTTGTTCAATCACGATGATTTTGATGTCATTTGACTCATTTCGTCTAACTGCTTCAAATGAGTATTTGTTTGTACAAAATTCGAAATGTTCATAGGCCCGTATTTCGGTCCAATCAAATCAGAATAATGGGGGGGGGGTGGTACCAAACAAACTATTACCGAAATAATTTCTAAACATTCCCTTATTTTTACCTTTATATTTTTCTATAAGCGAAAATTTGTCTTCCTTTATTTTTACTTGAACATTTTAATCTTTGTAAGAGGAGAAAGAAGGCTAAGAAAAAATGGACGTTAAGTTGACCGTTTCTAATCCTTTTTGAAAAGAAAGAATGAAAAAAGTGCGGACAAACATTTGCAGAATTGCGGGGATATAAACGCATAGTACCAAAAAACCTTATGATCAGATGCCAAAGTTCCAATAAGCATAACATCGTCTATTTCTTCCTTGTCCATCTTCGCATCAATTAAAGCTTTCGCATACAAGGACATTATTTTATCAATGTGGGATTCAGTTAAATGTCTATTTGGTTTTTTGAAGTGAGGAAATTTTTTGAAGGCTGTGTTGTCAATCAAATTAATGCTAGAAGTAAATTTAACTTCAAAGAGACCATTCTGCAATGCCAAAATTGAAATACTTAAAATTCCCAATTCCATGCCACAGACAGCCAAGCTAAAAATCATTTTATAAAATAAAAATTAAAATCACAAACGTAAATCCCTTAGAAGACATAGAGAACTTGGGAAAAGCTGCTGCTTCGTGTTCACTAACTATTTTGACGATTTTTATATGTGCCATTTCGGCCGCCCATTCAATTTGTGTACGCTGACCGGCACTGAAGTAAGAAGGTACGGTAATGACCGTCTCCAAATCACACGTTTTCAAATAATCTTCTGCCATATCACTCATCTTTTGTAAAATCAAAGAACAAATTTTTCTGGGTGAATAAATTTTGCCATTTGCTGCTTTAATCCCCGCATCGCCATTAGAATCTTCAAAAATGTTGTATTTGACATTTTCCCTAAATATAGAAGCAACTCATTACAAGCTAAACGATTACCTTATAATCTGAACAATCGGGTCATCAAATTTTTTTCCAATTAACAGCTCCATCATAAAAAAAATATTCTTAGAGTTTTTGTGTCGAATTGCCGCATCACCAATAATAATGTCATCGCCTTTTGCAAAAGCAACCACAGACGGAATAGTTTTAGTCTTCGAACCATCCTTGATCACCTAATTTTTAAATTTAATCAAAACAAAAATTTAAGATAAAACTTCGGCTTTTCTATCATTGAAAACGGCCACTCGGCAGTCTGTTAGACCCAATTCTAATCCGATTCTGGGCGTTGGGAAAGACATAACAGGCGGAACAGTGCAACTTTAAAAACAAAAAAATTTAAGTTTAAAGAAAACAAATTACAAATTTCTTAAAGCCAAACTCTTGAAACATCTAAAAAGTAAACTCATTTTAACTAATCTGTAATTATTTTTTAAGAAAACCAGAATAAAGTCTAAAATAGAATTTTAAAACTAAAATGAATAAACTGAATGCAGTGAAGCAGATGGGCTATCAAATTCATTGACGAAAAGTCCGTTGACGGAAATTCTATTGACGAAAAGTCATGCCACTGTTTGTTATTTTAACTTTTCGACGTTTCGTGTTTATTTTTTGAATTAAATTTCAAAGTGTAAATTTTCGTTTTCCATGTTGTCAAATAGGTCTCGGACACTTTGCATGGGTGTTTATTCGTTCTTCTTCTTTTTTACTTAAATTCTTTGTTTTATTATGATTCAACTCGTGTCAGCCAATGTGGTAAACGAAACCATTTTTGATGTTATTATTCTAGTCTCTGATGGAGTTAAATCGTTGTCTTTGTTGGAAGATAAATACAATGAAGTACGCTTAGCTGTAGAAAACTTTTCTAAGGTTTTTTTTTTAATTTTTTAAGTAATTATATTTTCCCAAAAAAATTCAGATTTGTTGTTCATTAGATGACGGAAATGATTGGCTTATTCCAACAGAAAAGATTCCAGCAAAACGCCTAATTTATTCAAGTACAGGCTCTATTCATGGAGATTTTGATGATGTTAGGAAATATATAAAAGCTGGGATTGCAGCGGGAAAAAGGTTTTAAACTCATTTTAAAATAAAATATAATATGAAATTTTTTAAAAGAATCGTTGGGGAAAGTTTTAAGTTTATTCCTTCTATTATATTTTTAAACTTTGTTTTTAATATACTTCACAATAGAGGTTTGGTTAAGTGTGAAAGGTGTTGGTTGTACCTAGTTTAACGGAAGTTCGGTTCTTTTCGGCGGGGTTTTTTGATTAATGCTTTTATGCATAAATTAAAATTTTTTTTAGATTTTCTAAGTATTTATGAATTCTTTTATGATATTTTTATGTCAGATTTTCTCATTATTTTATTTGAAAAAATACTCAAAATTTGTCTTTTTTCAGATTTTTAATGACTGGCGCTCGTTCCCCACTTCTAATAACTTTACCTACTGAACGTTTTCCAGCAGCCCAAATATGTTCTGCTATTGGTTTTCTCCATTCATTATATACACCTCTTCTAAATCGAGAAAAAATTGAAAATTTTGTTGAAAAGGCTGATTTAATTGGAATTTTGGAATTAAAAACAAAATGCCAAAAAATTAAAAATTTTGTACCGCATGGGTCTTTGGATGATTTTTTACAAGGAATTCAAAGCTCTTTTAATTTGTGTAGAGATATTGGAGATGGGGTTTGGTTTTTTTTTTAATTTAATAAATTTTCAATATTAAAATAAGGAAAGTATAGCTTATTAGTTGATGTTTATTCCAACTTGTTAGTAGATTAATTCACTCTTATTCAAATATCTAGTTTCCTAGCGGCTAAGAGCCTTATCAAGTAGTTAACCAATACCTGGGAATTTACCAATCTTTTGGGGACTTTCCTCTCTTACATTAAATAAAGTATTCCCTTCATTAACTATAAGGAAGGGCAGTTTTGCCGTTCGTTTTATTTTTCATATTTTCGGATTTTCTAGCATTTTTATTTTTTTTTGTTTTATTTTTAATTTTTCACTAAAAATTTTCTTTCAGGATCCTCAAAGAATGTCACCTTCCCGTGTTGTTGAATACATTTTAAATGAATTTAAAGATTCTTCAATTAAAATAAATATTGTTGAAAATAAAGATCAAATTTTGAAAAATTATCCTTTAATGGCTGCCGTCTCTAGAAGTGCTAATAATATTGAAGAACATCGAGTAAGTGAGAAGAAATTTAATTTTATGGCTTTTTAAAGCTTAAAAAATTTTTTTATAATTTTTTTTTTATAATTTTTTAGAAAAATTTATTTTTAAATTTAAAGGCCCGATTAATTTGGTTAGAATATATTGGAGAAGGAGAAATTACTGAAACTTTGTTTATTGTTGGAAAAGGTTATTTATTTATAAAATTTAACAATAAAAACAAATTTTAGGGGTGACAATTGATACAGGCGGGGCAAATTTAAAAGTGGGTACTTCAATGTATGGAATGTCTCGTGATAAATATGGAAGTGCTGTTTTGGCAGGTTTTTTTTAATTAGAAATTAATTTTCTAATTTGACTAAATTTGCTCTTATATTTTTTCAATTTTTTTATTATATATTTTTGTCAAAGGGTTTGGGTTCCCTTTTCAATATCTCATAATTAGCGAGAACTTTTCTGATAAATTAACTTATTTTTTTAGAGGACTTAATCCTTAAATTTTTATTTTTTATCAATATTATTTTCGAAATTAACGTGAACTGTTCTAAACAAATATAGACCATTTTAGAAATAGAAGATGAACCATTATAGAGATCGGACCGGGAAAATACTCGTCCATCAGATCGAAAAATCTTGAATATCCTCAACCCCGGTCTCTAGTCTTAATCTTCCCTTCAACTCTTTTAACCTACTCAATTTTTCGGCATTTAGCCCCAACAATAATTAAAGAACCTCAACATTTTTTACTTTTTAAAGGTTTTTTCCGTGCTTTGGATATTTTAAAACCTACAGGAATTAAAGTAGTTGGATGTATGTGTATGTGTAGAAATAGTATTGGTTCTAATTCTTTTACAACTGATGAAATTATAACTGTAAAAAATAATCCAATTAAAATTTTTTAAATTTTATTTTTAAGGCAAGAAGTGGAAAAACAATACAAATTACTAATACAGATGCAGAAGGAAGATTGGCTATGGCTGACGCTTTGGCAGAAATGAAAGAACTTGTAAGGTTTTAAGGGGTCTTAAAAATCATAAATTAATTTTTATCTAAAAATTATTTTTTGCGGATAATTTTTTGTGAGGAAAAATTTTGCGAGAATTTCTTGTGAATGATTTTATTTTTTTCTGACTTAAAATAAGCAAGGGATTTTTTTGAGAAAAATTTTATCCGCAAAAATTCTTTTTCAAATAAAAAATAAATTTTCAGGCTCTAAAAGCTCGTAATCCCCATCTAATGACTATTGCAACATTAACGGGCCATGTAGTTCTAAGTTACGGACATTGTTCAGCTGCTATGGACAATGGACCCGCTAGAGCTGTAAATTATGCTGAACAGCTTAAACAAACAGGAGATGTATTTGGACAGCCAGTAGAAGTTTCTAGACTTTTTAGTGAGGTAAGAAATAAATATTAAACGTTGGGAGAAATTTATTTTTGGGAATAATTAGGCGTATCGAGACTTTTTGAGAGTAATTAGGCGTATCGAGACGCTAAAGGTATAGTTGATCATGTAGTCAAGTGGGTTTGTCGTTGGTTCTGTGATGCTTGGGACGAGGGTTCGAAATATTAAACGCTGGGAGAAAGCATTTTTGGGAATAATTAGACAGGGAGGAGGCTAAAGGGATAGTTGGTCATGCAGTCAAGTGGGTTTGTCGTTGGTTCTGTGATGCCCGGGATGGGGGTTCGATACCCAGCTCGGCAAATCTTTTTTAAACTATTTTAAAAAAATTCTTTTAATTTTTATAGGACTTTTCTTTCCACTCTTCAGATGTCCAAACAGCTCAACTTAAACAATCGGACATTGGACCTTCTGTCCAAACACTTCGTGGACATCAAGGCCCAGCAGCTTTTTTAATTTGTGCTTCTGGTCTTTCTGAATGTGGTTTAGACTCTGCCCACCCAATTAAATATACACATTTGGATATTGGACTTGTTATGGGTGCTTATCCACAATGTTCGCTTCCATCGCCTTTGCTTACCCTTATTGCACAGTTTGTTTTTTTAGAAAAAATATTTTGGGAGAAAAATTTCTTTTCAAGTCATATTCTACCAAAAACTAAATTTCAAGAATGGGAAGTCAAAATTATTTCTTAAAAATTGGAAAGAGAGAAGAAATGTTAGAAACGCCTAGGTTTAAAATTATTATTTTTTTATTTAACCCTTTAGAAGCTTTCTAGCCCAAAAATTAAAATGTCCTTAACTCCTCTTTTTATTTAAAATTATAGTTGTAAATTTTTAGTCATTTTCTTTAAGGGAATAAATTTGTTAAATATCCGAATTTAATATATAACCTGGTAAATTAAAATTAGAGATTTTTAAGTGTGTCCGCAGCAGGGATTTCCTAGAAATGATTGAAATTTTGCTCGCCAAAAATTCAACGAAAAATTTAAAATTTTCGTTCAACAAACGAATAAACTAACCCGTTAAAATTGTCTACTTTTATAATTCCAATTATATGAAAACGGGCAAAATTATAAACCACAATCGTCGAGCCGAGAAATCCCTAGTCCGCAGATCTATCGGGTAACCATAAACATAAATAGGTAATTCTAATAAATATTTTTTATATAAAAATATTTTTTTAAATATATAAATATATATCTGAATTAGTTTTGTTTATTTATAATTAATTATTTATATTTACTCCTGTTGCTCTATTTCAATCACCAGGTCTTGAGGTCCTACTTTATCACCAGTGTTTAAATGTATTGCTTTTACAGTTCCTGCTATTGGTGAATCAACACTCATTTCCTAGAAAAATTAAATTTAAAATTAATTTAAAATTTAAACAAACCATCTTCATTGCTGACAGCACAAAAAGTGTTTGTTTTGGTGAAACTTTGTCGCCAACCTTTATTTTTACTTCCAGAATCTGAAAAACAATTTTTTTTTGAATTTTTGAAGAGTTTCTGGTTCAATGTTTTTAGAAATCGGAACTTTAAGAAACTTAGATTTCAATTTTAATAAAAAGAAAAAAGTCATTGACATCCATGATTCAAAGAAATTTTTGAATTAGGACAACCCCAACATTTTAAATTTTGGTTGGCCATTGGATGAGGGATAAGCGATACTCTGAATTAATTTACCCCGCCCCTCACACGATTTTTAGCCCCAAAATTTATAACAAAAAATCTCCTTACATCTCCAGGCATCGGAGCACCAATTTGTCCTTTAATTCCAGGCATAGCTTTCGGCCTCACAACAATATCCTTGGATGCTTCCTGGTCCAAAATAAACATTGAACGCATTTGCCCATTCAATTCGAAAAATGTTTCCCTTTCTCCCTTTGAATTTAATTTGCCTTCTGCCAAATGTTGAATTATTAAATTCTTTCCTTTTTCAATTTCAACCTTTTTAAATTAAAAAAATTTTAGAAAAATTTAACAAAAATTTACATTCACTTCCTCAGCGACATTTGGTCCCACAAGGAATACACGAGTTTCGAGTTTGTCTACAGGTCCATAAGTTTGTCGGAATTGTTCAAAATCGTCAAATTCGCGAGGGAACATGGCTGAAGACATTACCTATTTTTAAAAAAAAATTTCAGATTTTTTAGAATTTTTTTTCCTTACATCAACTTCTCTCAATTCTCTTCCATGCTTTTCTTCCAATTCCTTCTTTTTCTTTTCCAAATCCATTGGAGGCATTCCTTCACCTGGACGTCCATCAATCTTTTTCTTTCCTCGAAGAATTTTAGTTCGAAGAGGTTCTGGGAAACCATAGGGAGGTTGCCCTATTAAACCCTAAAAGAAATTTTTTTGAAAAATTTTTCAAAAAGAACAAACCTGCATAAACTCTACAACAGATTTTGGAAAAGATAATTCTTCTGCTCTCTCAGCAAGAGTTTCAAGTGTCAACTTATTTTGTACCATAAATTGTGCCAAATCGCCAACAATTTTTGACGAGGGAGTTACCCTTTTAAGAAAAATTATATTTTTAAAAATCAAAATTAGAGCCCGGACGGTAGCGTACTATCGACGGTATTTTTCGGTATCTCGTATCGGTAGTACATTACGGAGACAAAATTCCGAGTTCTAATCAAAAACAAAATTTTTCTTACTTAATTATATCACCCAAAGCCAAGTTTGCTTCAGCATACATTTTTTTAACTTCATCAAATTGTTCTCCTAATCCAAGAGCATAAGCCTTAAGAATTCAAAAATAAATATTTTAAAAATTAAACAAAAACCTGAAATTGTAAATTTGTGTATTGACCACCAGGTATTGCATGAATATAAACATCTGAATTTCCACTTTTCATTGAAACGGAAGATTCGAATGGTTGGTAAAGCTGACGAGCAATTTCCCAATAGGCGTTGTATTTTGAAATGTTTTCCATATTTAGGCCTTTAAGTTAGAAAAATTTTCAAAAAAATTTCATCCTTATATCGCTTAGACAACTTCCCCCATCCCGCAGGCTAGAAAGCCCTTTTAATCTCTTAGAAATTTTTCGAAAAGAAAAAAACCTGTAGCATGTTTTGTCCTCTCCAAAGCAGCAACTATCGCCCCCATAGATGGCTGTGATGTCATTCCACTCATCGAATCAACTGCTGCATCTACAACATCAGCACCTGCTTTAGCACATTCTATCATACTTGCTACACCTGTCATTGCTGTCTAAAAGAAAATTTTTTCCTTTGATTAAAATTTTTAGTAAATTTACATCGTGTGTGTGTACATGAATAGGAATATCTGGATGTCTATCTCTGAGCGCAGTAATTAATAATTTGGCAGCTTCAGGTTTCAATACACCGGCCATATCCTTCAAAATTAATTTTAAAAATTTTTCAAAAAAATTTTTAAGAAAATTTTCAAAAAATAAAAAAAAATTTTTTGAGAAAATTTCTAAAAAATTTCGAAAATTTCAAAAAAAAATCAAAAAATTTTTCAAAAAATTTTCAAAAAAATAAAAAAAAATTTTTCAAAATAACCTTAATTGCAAGTATATGTGCATTAGCCTTAACAAGTTCATCAGCCAATTTCAAATAATAATCCAAATTGTATCTCTTTGCTTCAGGATTGGAAACATCTCCGGTATAAGAAATGGCTGCCTCAACAACCCCTCCAGCCTTTCCAGCAGCTTCCATTCCAACAAGCATATTTGGAAGGTAATTTAAAGAGTCAAAAACACGAAAAACGTCAATCCCGGATTTAGCAGAGAGTTCACAAAACCTTTAAAAAAATTAACCTTTTTACTCATATCCAGACTTTAGAAATGTCAAATGGTAAAGATTGCCTATAATCTAATTTCTAACATAGCATTCAAGAAAATAAAAAAAAACTCTCGCTATAACCCAATACTAGATACCCCTAATACACCCAATTAAGAAACGTTTATAAAGATTTGGAAGCGATACCCCCAATTTAATATCCACCCCATTATAACCACCCCACCCCATTATAAGAATTCTCTACAAGTTCTCCCCCAAATCCATCTAATTTATCTCTCCAATCAGTAAAAAACAAACTTGTCAATAACATTATCAGGATAGCTAGAATATCCAACAGCATTTGCACCACGAAAGAGCATTTGGAAAGGAATATTGGGTATTAAACGACGTAGCGTTTCCAATCTTTCCCAAGGGCATTCGTGAAGAAATTGAAGAGCTACATTGAAAGTAGCGCCTAATAAGGAATTTTATCTTCAATAAAATTAATATAATTTTCCAAACCTCCCCAAACTTCCATAGAAAAAAGATTTGAAAAATTATAAGCCATAAAAGGAGAAATTTTGACCATATCAAAAGTCCTCACTCGAGTAGCCAAAAGACTAGAAAAATTTTATAAAATTTAAATTTAATTAAGAAAACCTTTGATGTGCGTCTCTAAATGTGGTGTCAGTCAAAAGACATCCTTTATTCTTCCTTACAGCTTTGGCAAATGCTTCAGGTCCCTGTTTTATTAGAATGTCTCGCAAACCGGCTGGGGGAGGTTGGTCTATTAAAAATTATTTTTAAAAATTTTTTAAAAATTAAAAAAAAACCTGCTGGAACAGAAGGAACAACAGGTTGAACATTTCTTGGCGGAAGGTCAGTAACTAATGGGGTCAAAGGTCCATTTACTTTTAAATGACCCAAATAATGCCTAAAATAAATTTTAAAAATTCAAAAAACATTTCAGATTTTACAAAAGTTTCTGTGCTCTGTTTTGGCTAGGTTTGAAATTAAACAATTCTGGGTGTTCGTCAATAAAAAGTGTGTCAACTACGCCTGTTCGAAATTCTGGTTGTTCGAGGACGTTGATCTGACAGAAAAAACTTTAAAAAAAATTTAAAGAAAAATACCAAAAAAGGAATATTTGTTTTGACTCCACGAATACGAAATTCTTTAAGAGATCTGACCAATTTAGAAGCTGCGGAATGATGATTTCTGGCACGGGCAATTACCTTAAAATTATTTTGATATTAAAAAAATTTAAAAAGAAAAAACCTTGACAAGTAATGAATCATAATGTTGAGAAATTACAGAACCAGCAAAAGCAGAAGCCCCATCTAAACGAATTCCCATTCCTTCACCGCTCCGATAAACTTCAATCTTTTATTTTAAAATTAATTTTTTAAATAGAAAAAATAATTAAATACCCTTCCACTGTCTGGTTGAAAGCCTTTAGCTGGATCTTCTGTTGTTACTCTAAAAGATTATTTTTTAATTAGGGACAGTTAACGAGTTGAAATAAAGATAGGAAATACATGGAAGGTCTCAAGAATGTCATTCCGTCTTCCCCTCCCTCATCAGTTCCCTTATTGTTAGATTTTTTTATTCAGTCCCGAGGGCCGTGCTTATTACTAGACTAATGCCCCTGATGTCCTAGACTAATGTCTGCCTACCATGTCACTCCCATCCTAACGTTAGCAAAATTAGACTCGAGGGGTGACGTTATACTGGTTAACGTTATACAAAAAAAGAAAAAGTTGAAGACACAAATTTAATTTAAAAAATAATGAATGTATTGACCTGTCTGGGTACATAATACCACAAAGGTAAATGCATATTCGGGATCAAATAATAATATCCCAAGCGTTAGGCCCGTTTACAAATAAATCATAAACGGAATTTGACAGCTTGGTCAGCCAAAATAAATTAATTTGAATAAAGGGGGTCGAACCTGGGGGTCTTTAATTTTCAAATCAAGCAAGTTACCCATTACACCACACCGTCTCTTAACTAATCTGTTAATTTTTTAAAGATAAACAGCTAATAAATCCCTCAAAACAACTTTTTAAAGATAAACCTGCATTGAATAGCAGCACCACTAACACTTATAGCATCCTGTCTTAATTTAATATCATCCAAAGATTTTCCTTCAGCAATGCGAATTTGGGCTTGAACCTTCAAAAATTAAATTTTTTTTAATTTCTTCCTCCTCCAAACCAACCAAATCAACTCCCGTAATTTCTTCAGTAACAGTATGTTCTACTTGTAATCGAGCATTAACTTCCATAAAATAATGATTCCCGGCTCTATCCAATAAAAATTCGACTGTGCCTAAAAAAATGGGGAAATTTTCAAAAAAAAATTTCAAAGAAATCCATACCAACATTTTGATACCCAACATGTTTTGTCAACTTAATTGCATCATCCAACATTTTCTGTCTTATAATAGGGTCTAAAATTGGAGCTGGAGCAAGCTCTACAACTTTTTGATGTCGACGTTGAACAGAACTGGGAAAATAAAAAATGAGAAATTTACAAATAAAATTTCTTTTTCTAACCAATCTCTTTCGTATAAATGAATTAAATTTCCGTAGTGATCGCCTAAAAATAAAATTAAAAAAAAAATTTTTTTAGAAAATAGCTAACCCATAATTTGAACTTCAATGTGTCTCGGCCTTTCAACAAATCTTTAAAAAAAATTTTTAAAAATTCAAAAAAAAAAAAGTTTTAACCTTTCAACAAACAAAGAACCATCACCAAAAGCTGCTTGTGCTTCAGAAAAGGCTCTGTTAAAAGCATTTTCTACCTAGAAAAAAAAGATAAGATAAATTATTCCTAAAAATATTGGGAAATAAAAATTTTTGAATATTTTTTCTGATAATCGGACCTCACTACAAGATACAACTAAAATTAAATACTAGGTCGCCTCTCACAAGGAACCATATCGAACTGACACAAAAAAATTTTTTAATTTAATTTATATCATTGTGTAGAGCAGGGTCGATTTCCCATTGCCAATTTTTTGCTTTTTGGCCCTACCCCCAAATCGGAAAGTTATAGGTCTTCAAAGTTTCAACTTTTATCACGGATGATACCTATGCTACCCCAATAGTCAACCAACCGTTACAAAAAAATTTTTGGTTGACTAGTGAGTTGGGGAGATGTCTAGGACCTTTTTCAGCCCCAAGGGAGTATTTTAGTAATTTAGCTAATTTTTGTAATTAAATAAATAATTTACACAGATTAAAAAAAGACTTCTTAACTTACATCATCTTCCCTTTCCACTTTCCTCATTCCTCTCCCACCACCTCCATAAGCAGCTTTAACTATTATCGGAGTTCCATATTGTTTAACAAAATCCATTACTTCATCAGCACTAGTTACTGGATGATTAGTTCCTGGGACAACTTGAACTCCCGCCTCTATAGCTGCTTGACGGGCAGCAACCTCAAAAAAGAGAAAAAAATTTTAAATAAAAAAAGAAAAAATACTTTGTCCCCCATTCGCCTCATAACAGAAGGTGATGGTCCAATAAAAACAATTCCGCGTTCTTGACAGGCTTGGGCAAAATCTGCACGTTCAGAAAGAAAACTAGAAAATAAAATTAAAAAAATTTTTTGAATAGAAAAAATCCTAAAATCAACCCCGTCAACTTTTTTCCCTTCTTTCCTGAATCTGATTTACTTTCAACTTTTCCATTGTACAGATAACGGCTCTCAATAAAAGGAAAAGTCATGAGTAAAACGACACCAAACCCATACCAAAAAATATCAACAGGTTAGAGGGAACTTGATCCCAAGAACTTTCCTCAGAAATGAAAGGTTGTTAACCGTTCCACAACGATTTTTTTGCTTTATTTATTAGGCTGTGAGGAAACTTAGCCCCGACCTTAAACACATAAAATTGGATAAAATTTTGCGAATAGTTAAAAAAAGATAAGGCAATAAAAAGGTCGTAATCTTAAAAATTTTCACTAAAAAAATTTCAAAATAAAAAAAAAATACCCATATCCTGGATGTATAGCATCAACCTGGTTACGTAGAGCAACATCAACAATTTGGTCAATATTTAAATAAGCAGCAACAGGGGGTAAACCTTTAAAAGAAATTTTTTAGAATTTTCGAAAAATTTTTATAAAAAAACCTTTTCCAATTAAATAAGCTTCATCAGCCTTATAAACATGAATTGAATGTTTATCTTGTTCTGAATAAATAGCAACAGAAGTTTTGTTCATTTCTGTTAATGCTCGAAATACTCGCGTTGCTATAAAATGAGAAAATTTTTTAGAAATTAAAGAGAGAAGAATTTTTTGTAAGGGAAGGAATTGAGGAATTGAACGACAGAAATTGAAGAAGAATTGAGGAAAGTAATTGAGAGATAAGGAAAGAATAATTTAACTTTTCCCGTCGACTTCGCCTATCCATAGCCAATACAAATCCAGGGAATAAGCGAAAGGAAATGATAAATCTAAGAGATAGGTCTAGCTTGTAGTTATTGTTGAATCGAAGGAAATAGTCCAACACTCGTTTAAAATCACTCTAAAGGAGTGAGCGATAGAGATGAGATTTTTGAAAAGCGTGCTCTGGAGTTTGATTTATTGACTTGGGCCGGATCTTGGGCCTTTAGTCCAGAAAAAAACCCAGAAAGATCAAAAATGCCTAGGCCTCGACTCTGGGTAAAGGAAAAACCCAGGCCTTGGTCCAGGTACAGCTCGATGAGCAAGCATCCGGCCGGGATAACAAAAATTAACTAGAATATTTGTATTCCCTTTATATTCCAGTTATTTTTATGGATCGGAATCAAAAAAATAGAGGAATGTGACTAAACATATACCAAATTAAAATCTCAACCTTATCCATGGCAAAGAAATTTTAAAAAATTTAAAAGAATTTAATTACCAATTTCCCCTCGATTTGCAACCATAACCTTAAAAATTATTAAAAAATTATTTAAAAAAAATTTTCAGCAAAAAACCTTTTTAAATTCCCTTTGGTCTGTAGAAGTGGAATCATATCGAACAATGTTTTTAATACAACGATAAAAGGTTTGGATGCGAGCACGTTTTGGTCGAATATGAAGAATTGTCATTTTTTATTATTTTAGGAATGCTGAAAATTAAAAATTAGTTTTGAACTTTTTTGGAATTTTTTTGAATTTTGTGTGAATTTTTAAAGTTAATACAACCACACCTATTACATCAAAATAATCCCGAAACTGGATAATACATTCAATTTAGAAATTTGGTTAGTTTGGGGAAGTTACCTAAGTAATAGTGTGGTTAAATAAAAGTCCCTTTGCGTCCTGCGACAAGAAATTATTCAAAAAAGGCAAAATCGCGCGAGGCCTTTCTCTCCTTTTTCCATTATTTTTTCTGTTGCATAACAGCGCGCTATATTTTTATTTAATCAACTAATATAAGCGATAACCCCAAAAAATGGAAAAATAAAAAAATTTTTTTGTAAATATTTTGAAAATTTAATTTGAAAATAATTTTTTTAGATTTTTGAATAAAAATAAATTTAAAAAAAATATTTTTTAGGTAAACAAAAATAAATAGAAAAATATTTTTCAATGCAACAGAATTTTTATCTTTTTTTACTCTTTTCTAATCAGTCTTTTTTCTCTCCCATTTTCTACTAAAAGGACGTATACTCAGCCCATTTATTTATTTATTTATTTTTACAAAAGGAAATGATCTTTCGATGGAAAAATAAAAAAAATTGAATGTATTCAAAAAAATAAAAACTATTTAATTAATTTTAATTGATTTTTTTTGGTATGTTTTTGGATAAAAATGGCTCGTTAATAAGGAGGTTAGTGAAACTCGCAACTCTCGTTTGGGAATTAATATCCATTCAATAACCAAAAATTTTACAAAAATTACCGGCTCTACTGAAGTTTATGAGCCCAACCTCACTTTAAGAGTCCAATCAAACAATTAGATTTTTCTTGGTGTTGCAAAGTTGGGGTATGGCTCCAAAACATTTCTTCATGTTCGGGACCTACGCCCACTGGGTCTGTTGTTTTTTGATTGGACTCTTCTGGTGCGATTAGACTCATAAAATGCAGTAGAGCCAAAATAACAGCCAAAATCCGCTAGATCATCAATTTAGTAAGGAGTAGGCGTTAAAATTTCTATAAAAATTGCGCGTAGAGAAGAGAAAGGATAATATAGAGGAGATAAAGGTAGCGTGCGGTTTTTTTTAAATTTTCTGTCGCAAGTCGCAAAGCGACCGTTAAAATTGAATTTTTTTTAGAAAATCTAAATAGAAAAATGTCTTCAATTTTCTAAAATTTAAAAACATCAATCTTTCCTTTTTTTAATAAAATTAAAAAAAATAAATAAAAACTTATAAACTGCGTTTAGAAGAGAATTATTGGTTTGTTGTTGTTTAAGTAGAAAATTTATTTATTTGATTGATGAGGTTTTAATTAAAGTCGTTGTAAAAGTGAAAATGCGTGAAGTGACAAAAACGAAAAATTTTTGTTAAATAAATAAATATTTAAATGCTAAAAACAAAAAAAAATCTTTAAATTATTTTAAAAAATTAAAAAATACAAGGAAAATTCACCGACAATTAACCGAAAAAAAAATTTCGATTATTTTTAATTTCTCAGTTACATATGTAAGTACAGAAAAGTATTTAGGGATGGGCTTGGTTAAGAAAAAAAGTCAGATTGAGTTTTAAGTCGAAAAAACCACCGGCCTATCCCTGATTTACTAGTCAACACAGGAAATTGAAAAGTATCTTGAAAAAAATAATTTAAAAAAATATTTCAAAACAGAATTCAAGTCTTTTAAAAATTAAAAATTTTTTTTCCAATTATAAAATTTTCTATAAAATACATACACACACAAATATTAGAAGTGTAAAAATTATTTTGTCAAAAAATTTTTTTAAAAATATATACTTTTTTTTGGTTCACATCTTTTTAAAAAGCATCATCAAAATTATTATGGCCTCCCCCTCCCCCTACAGAATGACCAAGGGGTTGACTAGAAATTGAAGCATTTTCTGATGTTGATGAATCTTCAACATCCCCACCGGCACTTATACCACTAAAATAGGATTCTTGGTCATCTCCATTATTGCTTCCATTGTTTGCATTATTCTGAAACTTAAAAAAAAATATTTTTTAAAAATTATTGATAATAAAATTATAGTTTGGTGTATCCTACCATTCTTTGTCTTAATTTTTAAATTTTTGTAATAAATGTTGAAATTGCTTGCTAAATTGGCTTAAAAATGCTTACAACTAGACAAGGGCGTAGCCAGAGGGGGGCTTCTGGGACTATAGCTCCCCCTGAAATGTTGAAAATGAAAAAAATTTAGGAAGGAAATGATCAGAAAAGTGAATTTTTACGTCTACAACCCACAAAATTCTCAAAATTTTCGCCTCCGGCGTTGAAAAAATAAAAATATATGACAGAAAATTTTGCGTTCGGAACGCCAAAGTAAACGCCAAAATTTTGGCTCACACCCCATTTTAGCCCCCCTGAAATCGACCTCCTGGCTACGCCCTTGCAACTAGAGTTGTTGGCGGCCGGTTAATTTTCGCCGGTGGCGGTCAAATGACCTTAAATTTCTCTATTTGAGCTACCGCAGGTTTAAAATTAACCGGTCGCTAACAACTTTACTTAGAATTAATATGAAAGGATAACAGCCACAATATTACCCAATAAAAAAGGATCGTAAAAGGTTGCGTCATAAAAATTTGAATTTTTAGGAGAAAAAAAGAATTTCAATCGACTAACCTTTTCTCTACAAATTCCATTTAAATTAGAGCTAAAAAATATTTTTATGACGCGACCAAATTTATTAAATTAAAAAAAGACCTGGTACAGAAGAAAGCCAGAAGAATAATTTGAATCCATATCAGAATCCGAATCGGAATCTTCCACAATTCCATTAGATTGACGCATTCGTAGAGACTGGATCTTTGTGAAATTTTTTAGATTAATTTTGGAAAAAAATTTAAAAAATAACCTCATAATAATAATCAAAACGATGTAATGTGCTCAAATCTTCCTCAATATCTAAAAAAATTTTAGAAGCCTTTAGAAAAATTTTTAAAGAAATTTTCAAAAAAAATAAAGAAAAATTTTGGCTCTTGCCCAGTTTAAACGTCCAAACAAATTTTTATGCGATTTGAATTTATTTTTGTAACTTTTATTTCTATACAAAAAAAACATTCCAAGTTGTGGAGGAAGTTGTTCCGAGAATGGGAACATATAAATTCAAAATTTAAATTATCCCCGCGGTGCCAAAACACGCATAAAAATACGTATGGACGTCTAAAACTTTATTAGACGCATAAAAATTTGTTTGAACGTCTAAACATTTCAATGGGCGTATAAATGTTGTTTGAACGTAATGCAATTGGACGCCCTAAACTGGCAAGAGCCAAAAAATTTTAGAAAATTAAAAAAAATCCAACCAGAATCCCCATGTGGATCACCCATATCCACATACGGAAAAAGACGTGCATTTGAAAGTTTTGTTCTCAGTTTTGGATTGCTATAAGAACTAAATAATGGCAAAGGACTCCAACACTGAAAAAAAGGAAAAAATTTTCAAAAAAATTTTTTAAATTTACTTTGACAATTTTTTCTACTCCACAAGACAACATTAATCCACTTTTTGAGCCATATTTAACATGGTTGACTATTGAGCGATGGCCACGTAGGACAGTGTAGGCGTTACTGGTATTTTCATTTTCTTCATTTTTGTCTAGAAAGGAAAAAATTTTTTCAGAAAAAATTTTCAAAAAAAACCGCTCCAATCTGTTGGCATTTCCCAAACATAAATATTCCAATCATCACTGCCCGTACACATAAAATTATGACCAGCAAACGTGCAAGATTTAATTGTACAAAAATTTGAATAATTTGGATCACGTAAATGAACATATTCTGAGGTAGATAACTTTAAAAAATTTAAAATAAAATTTAAAGAAAATTTAAACAAACATTAAAAACTACAGGATTTGAACGGCTCATAACACAAAAAAGTGCTTCACCATTTGGTGACCAGTCTGAACAAATTGCACGACGAGTAATTTTTCCAGCTTCAACGTAATTACTAAAAAAAATTTTTTAATTAAAATTAAATTTATAAAATGGTACAAACAAAAAATAAAAGAATAGAAGAAAAACAATTATTTTAAAAATTAATCTGATTTTTGGATAAGGCATGAAATTCCTTGGAAGCCAAATTTTGTCATTTCTATAAAATTAGTATGTTGTTCACAAGTTGGACCGGCGTTATAGGCAATTTTTTTGAAATGAGACTGTATGAGTTTCAAACAAAATATGGGATGACTGATTCGACCTATAGGATCGAGTCATACCATTTTAGTAACCCTATAGAGAATATTCGAATTTCAGACCCATTTAGAATTGGGAGTCGATCCTAGGATTTTTTAAAAACCTTTAAATTTATAACCTTCTTTACGAGACTAACAAAAAATAAATTTCAACATTTTCCCAGTAAAAAACTTCCAAACCCTCACCAGCCTTATAAAAATTAATTTTCTCCTTACTTTATTCCCATCCTCAAGTCATAAATAACCAATCCAGTTTTTTCATTACAAACAGCTACAATATTGTGATTTAAAGGATTCCAACAAACAGAATAAGCACGTCCCTCTTGTTTTAATTTTGTACACATTCCATCACCTTCTCCACCACGCAAATCAAACAAATAAACGTTTCGATCATCTGAAGAGGCTGCAATCATGTTGTCATCGACTGGCTGGAAATTTAAAAAATTAGAGGGGGGAGGTTTAATAACAAACAAGAAAGTCTACCCTCATTGTAAGATACCCCTTGGGGTATAAAAAATTATAGCTTATAACGAGGAGTATCCTAAATTGAAGGTACCGCTTATGTTAAGAAATTTTCCTACCCAAGTGATTAATTTAATCTTTTTTAAAAAATGTATCCTAAAAGTCGATGGAGTGACTCTAGTAGTTTTGGTTTTCCCCATTTCAGTGGGGGGGGGGGGGGGGGGGGGAGGGGGGCTATAGCCCGAGAAGTCCCTTCCCTCTGGCTACGCCCTTGGTAGTAAATGTATACAACAGAGAGGTTTGCCTGTATCTGCAAGCGCTTTTCTAATTCGTAAAAATAAATTACACTTGTAGAAAACCCCCAAACAAAGACTCAAGAAAATCCCAAAATTAACAAAAAAAACAAATTACATGAGTGGAAATATGATAAATAGAAGAAGCTGCCCGATAAGTACAAAGACGTCCAAGAGTCCTTTAAACAGCTTTATTAAAATTAAAAAATTCTTTTCAAAAAATACCTCATATCATGAACCAAAAGTCGATGGTCATTCCCAGCAGAATAAACTCTTTCAGTTTTGTGAGAAAATCGAAGAGCAAAAATATTTGATTGATGAATTGATTTCATTGTAACGCTGGTTAATGAAGGTGTTTCAGAAGTGCAGCAATCAACGGTTTTCCAAAGGCGAACTTTTAAATCGTCACCTCCTAAAAATTAAAATTAGGATTATAAAATAGATGAAATATTAATTTAATTTGAGACGGGATCTCATCAAGATTTTGATGGATATTGGCACTAAATCCCGAGTTTAAGCGACAAATGGGATTCCGGAATAAAGTCCGTAGGATCCCACCCTGTTCATCTTTCTGAAAAAATTCGTCAATGAATCACGGACGTGATTTTCCAACTTAAAATATTACAAAACGTTTGTTTCAGAGTTGACTTTCATTTTTGAATAAAATGATATACTTTTTAAAAGTAAAATTTTAAATTGAGGGAATTGGTGAAGATAAGAAAAGAGGAGATTCCGTTGAAGAAATTAAAATTAGAGTACGTCGAGTACTGAGTAATGGCGAAAACTCCGATTCGGTTTAAACTGACATAAGTCTGTTACGTTAGCATTAAGATCCTCCCCCAATTATTAGGATCCCAAGTTCGAACCCGAGTAAAGAAGAAAAAACCCGAGCCTGGTAAAAACTGGGCGAGGTCAAAACTACCCGGACGTACTCTACTTAATGTTAAAATTATCACCCCCCCCCCTTCCCAAATAAAAAATAATAAATAAACTAACCACTAACAATCCATTCCTCATTTGGCGAAAAATCTACAGCATTAACACAGCCTGTATGTGCTTTTAAATCTCTTTGATGAACAGAAGAATTTCTTTTATTTAATTCAAAAATGTTGGGCAAAGAAAGAGAATTGCCAAAAACTTCTCGATTTTTAAGTTTTGAAAGAATACGTTCACAAATATTTTTATTCTTCTTTTTTATTCTTTCTTCGGGAGGATTTAAAAGAATTTCGATATATTCTTTTTTGGCTGTTTTTGGAGGTTTTGGTCCGGGAATTGAATCTTCTCCCTTTTCTTTTCCTTCTCCATCATCCAATTTTAAATCATTTTCATTTAATTTTGTTTTAACAGTTTTATTTTCGATGTTGTCACAATTAGAGGAGGAAGAAGCACTCATGAAATATTAATATCTAAAAAAAATAAAAATTAATAAAATAAAAATTAATTAAAGATAAATTAAAATCGATATTCATGACTTTTGATATACCAATTGTTTAAAAAAGGTTGCCATTAAAAAGTAAAAAGAGTTAAAGCTGCTCCCATTAAAAAAGAGTAGAAAAAAAGAAAAAAAAGCTCCTTATAAGCCAACAGCTCCCTTTTACCAAAGCAGGAAAGTGTTCTTGAAGCACAGTATAAACCAGACGATTCTCTGTAACTGAATTAATAGTGGGCGTTTCTATACCATTGGACATTTTGGGATTGGACATTTTTCGATCAAGTCAATTTTTCAAACTGCAGGGGTCGATTTGGTAAAAAGTTACAAAATCGAAATCTGACACACAACATCCGATTTCTACTTTCTCGAGACAAAAAACTAGGGCGTTGGTCTAGTTTATGCGTCCAATCAGACGCCGTATCATTATCCAAAAATCAACAAACCTTGAGGACCAATCTCTTTATTTAGATGAAAAACTCTGCTACACAAATGATAGTTTACTCATAAAACATTAAAAGCTTAAAAAACTTATAAGCAAAAAAAACAAATTTAATTATGCAATTTATTCGCAAATATCGACAAAAAAGACAAATAATATGCACGAAAAAATTTTAACATTTTATATTCAAGAGTATCTTTTTCAACTATAATTTTAAGTACTTATTTTATCACCTATAATTAATTATACTCCTATAGCAGCATATTATTTCCCATCATCTAGGCAGCCTTCTCAAGCTCAATCAACTTCTTCACACCGTCGTACATCTGCTTGACAGCTGAAAATGAAAAATTATAACAATCTTTTTCTGAAAACTTTCCCACCTTCAAACTCGGTAAGCCCAAGGCGAGCCTTGTTTGAGATGTCGTAGACGCCGCCTTCAGAATCCGAGTGCTCACCATGAATGCCACGGATTTGCAACTTCATCTCATCACAGATCCTTAAAAATATTTTTGATTGGGAGCTCTCATTTGGTAATATAAAACTCACTTCTTGAATTCCGGCTTGGCACTAATCTTTGGCAATCTGATATGCACAGATGCACGAACGGTCGTTCCCTTAAAGAAAAACAAAATAAACGTCACAACAAATTCAAAACAAACCAAGTTCGAAGGGCAAAAAGTAAGCCAGCCAAGACGATCGTCGCGAGAGAACGGAACTTTAGTCTCAATCGCCTTAACTCCCTTGATCAAACGCTCAAGCACCTGACCAACATTGCCTCCGTTCTGCATAGAAATGATACGAAGATGATCCTCCTCATTGACCCAAACAAGGAAAGTCTAGAAAAACCGTTGAATTAAGAACTCTTGTAAAAGGCTAACCTTCTTGTCGTTATGGTAGATACCACGTCCGGTTGGCCAATAACGACAAGCATTCGCAGCCTGCAAAAAGCGGTCTCCTTCTTTGAAGAGGAAGTGATCCTTGATCAATTGAGTTTGAACCTCCTTGGTCATTCCCTCCAAAGGATAATAGGTGCCACCAAGCTCAGCATCTGAATATTTGAATGTAAACTTAAAGGAATAAAGAAACCTACCAGACTTAAGCTGCTCAAAGACCCCCTTAACTTTATCCTGCATTTCCGTATAATTCTCTTTAGTCAAGCACGGATTGAACGGATATCCCTGGAAAAGAAAAATAAACAAGTTTTAGCGACAAAGCAACCTGAAGAGAACGCCCACATCGAACACGAGTCGAGTTGATGAATTTACCCTCAGGATCCAGATCAGGCAAAAGCTGAGTCTTTCCTTCACCCAAGTCAGTTTGCGGCTGCTTCTGGTCAGGTCCAAATCCATTGTGGTAGTCCTGAAAAAAGGCTGTCAAATATCAAAAACATTCATAAACAACCTGAATAATCGGGTCAAAAAGCGGTTTGAAGAGAGTGTAAGACTCAGCATCAGGCGCATAAACACCAACACCGCTATCAAGATTCGCAACTCCAGACTGGATCACATCAAGCAAGTTCGCACCAAGCTTAGTTTTGAGCCCTTTACACTGGTCCATAACTTCCTTAGTGAAGTACTTCTTGAGAAGAGACTTGCACTCCGGTGCCTCCTAAAAGTTGAAAAATAGTTCAAAATGCTTGGAAGTTCTTGTACCTGCAACTTTTTGTACCCAGCCTCGATCTTCTCGATAACATCGGGAGGAACAGCCATAGTTGTTTTGATTATAGAAAATAAACGTTTTAATTGTCTGAAAATTTAACAAGTTTATTTAAAACTAAGAGGATTTACGAATGATGGGAGAAAAATATGAAGAATTTATACTCAAGTAAAAGTGAATACACTAAAACATATCAAATTGTTTATGCACTCACCTAGTCTTAAAGATATGAGAGAAATGAAGAGCACAAATGACGCTCAAAATATTAAACTTTTAAAAGTACATATGAAAGACAAAAGAACAAGAAAGACCAACTAACGTCACGAACCAACAGAAAAAAATAAAAACTCGATAAAATATAGAAAAACTTAGAAGAATAAAGACAACATTCAATATTGCCCTTTTATACTACTTTTTGAGCTTTAAATTAAACATTTCGCCAAAAACAAAATTAAGTGCCAAAAATAGCGTAGAATAAATTTTCTAATAAAAATCACTTATTGATCTCTTTTTTTCGAATGTTTTTCTTTATTTTTACTTAACTAATGTAAATTTTGGAGAGAATGTATGATCAACTTTATTCAAATTATTCAAGCAACAAATATATTTACAACAAATGCCCAGACGAATTTATTCAATCTTTTTGTTCAGTTCCCCATGCAAACGACGTAACTTTTTAATTTTCTTTTTAATTTTTATTTTTAAAATTTTAGTTTGAATGGGTATCAGCAAGATTTTCACCACATTCTCAACAGGAACACATTTTTGTTTTGGGAAATGAAATGGGATCTATTGCTTTATTCGACGCAAAAGAAGATTTAGATAAATATAAATTTATTAGAAGAGGTTTTTAATTTTTTTAATTGTATGGGACAAGGGAGATTTATCTTTCCAACATTTAAAACGCTTACTAGGCGGGAGTTTTATTAAAAGAAGGTGAAACCGGCGCCCCAATAGCTATCATAGGTAGAACTAGAGACCGGCGCTGGACAGGATTTTCCTACTCGGGATCCCGGAAGTTCGATTTTGCCGGTCTCTAGGTAGAATTACCTGCGCCTGGCCAGGAGATCGCAGGATGCCCTGTCTAAATTTTTACCTCTCTCTTACTAAATATATATATTTAAGGTAGTCGTATTCATAGCGTCATTTTGGATTTTTGCTTTTTACCTGAAATTCCAGAATGGTTAATTGCTTTATCAGGCAAATCACACATTCATTTAATTGATATTACAAATGGAAAGCCAATTTCTTGTCTTGTTGGGCATTCATGTTCTGTTAGATGTGCCAGTGTTTGTCCTGGAAATCCAAGTATTTTTCTTAGGGTTTTTTCTTAAATTTCTTTTAAAGATTTATTAGTTTCTGGCTCTCGTGATGGTTCAATCCTTGGATGGGATTTGCGCTCCCCTCCTTATGAGCAAATAACAATTGATGGCTCCGAATGGGGAGCTTTAGCTCCATCAAGAACTTTTGCATTTGCGCATGAATCTCCTGGAGGTTTTTTTTCTAGCTTTTTTAGAAGGGCTGGTGGTAATACTTTGAAGAGCTATCCTTTTTTCTTTCCTATTTCTCCGTTTTTTGGTAATAAAAAGGTAATACTTGGTTACGTCTTTATAAAACTTTTTGTACAAACTTTTGACAGTCATCTGATAATTGCCTTATGTTAGGATAAAGGGAAAGACTGAAGGAATTTGTAAAAATGATCAGAGAAATATTCTAGGAAGGGAAAAATTGTAAAGGGGACAACTTCCAAAGTATTACCATGCCTGTTTGTTCATAGCTTGACTAATTTTGATAAAAAAATTTTTAGTTGTTTCTCCTTCTTCTTGTAAACGTTCGAAAACTGTTGCTTCTATTACTGGTATTAACGAATTTATTTTTAATATTTTATTTTTCAAGGCTTATTGCATTTTGGAGAGAATTATGTCATTTCTTCATCCTCCTCCGCTTCAAGGTTTTTTAAAATAATTTTTACTAAATTAAGAAAAATTTAGCGGGATTCGAATTTGGGATTTGCGTTATATTACTGGTGCTGCTTTAAGAACACTCAAAGTTCCACAAGAAGAAGGAGGAAAAGAGCCGGGAATAGCGTCAATGTGTTGGGATCGCTTTAATTCTTCATTCTTTGCTTCCTGTACAGATGATAAAATACATGAATTTTTGCCGGTATCTAGCTGTGATTTACCAGGTTTTTTTTGAAAAGTAAAAAACTTGGATTAGTTTTATAAATTTTTTAATAAAAATGTTCTTCTGTGGTCTAGTGATTTAGTAGCTTGCTTGTTTTTTTAATTGCCTAGGTTCGACTCTGATCGTTATAAATTCAGTTTAAAATTTTTCTTCGCATATTTTCAATCCAAAACCTTTTAAAATTTCATTAAAACTCATTCAAAAAATTTTTAAAGATAATTTTTCAAATTTTAAGTACGCTCCTTAAATGGACATGGTATTGATTCATTCTACGTCCAATGTGCCACATCTTCCATTTCCGATCATTTAATTTGTGGCTCATCTCGAAATAGAGCGTACGTTTGGGATTTACAGGTTATTTATATTTCTTTTTCATTTTAAATTTAAATAATATTTTAAGGAAAGTCGTAACTACCGGCAAAACCTTTTTAAAAGTTCAAATAAAAGTTTTCTTCCAAATCCAAAATTTGCATTGGAAGGAAATGAATTCGAGGTTTTTTCTCTATTTTTTATAAAAATTTTATAGATTTAAATTTTAGTTTGAATGTGTTCAATGGAGTCAAAGTGGAAAATACTTTCTTACTCTTGGTCGCGATTATATTCGGATTTGGTCCAATAATGAAAGAACGGACAATGAATATTCAAAGGAGGTTTGTTGATTTTATAATTTTATTTTTAATTTATTTTTAGACTTCTAGTAAAACTGGAATTCCAATCAAATTTGATTACCCAACTTTGTTACCGCCAATACAAAATGAGAATATGTTGGACAATCAAACAATAAATGAAATAAAGTGTTCTTTGAAGCTAACAAATTTTGATGGAAGAAGGTTTTTATTTTAAAGATGTTTAATGGTAGTCGGACTTCATTATAAGATTTCCCCATGAGGAATCATTTTATATTGAGGTTTATTTTAAATTAGAGTAACTTTGATACCCTGTAACTTTTTAGTTTCACATTCCTAAAAAAACCGAAAATTTTCTACAGTAAATCGATGATGCTTTATCGATCGGTACCGAAAGAAGTACTCGAATTAGAGTTATGAAGGTTCCATTGTTAAACAGCAACCCCTACCCACCCATTGAACGACCATCTAAATTGAAGTTTGAGTTTGACTATTAATTTTTAATTAAATTTAGTACACCTCCCAACTTTATTTTTGATGACAAAAAATCTTTCTTGGAGGATTTACCAGCTATTTATTTCTCTAAAAAAGAGAATTCTCTTTCTCAAAATCAAGTGTCTTTCAACTTTACAACTCCAAAAAAGCTTGTTTTGAAAGGGAATACAACATTTACTCCTGCCAGTAAAATATCTAGGTTTGTTGAATTTTTTAATTTAAAATTAATAAAATTTTTTTGTTAAAGAATTGAAGGTAACGAAAATCAACACAGAACTCCAGGAAAATCAAGGAATTTATCAGCCTCTTTCCAAAATCAGAGAACGCCTGGGAGCAGTGGAAAAAAGCGACGGTTTTTTTCAGAAAAATTTTTTTAATTTATTTTTTAGTCGTCCTTCCCCAAAATTATCCAGTCAACTTCGTTCAAAAGGTGTTAAGTGTAGTCAAAGACTTTTAAAACATAATAAAGAAGAAAAAAGTTCTCCTTCAAATACTCCAAATGGTATTCTTAAATATTTGTCACCTGTGGAGAATAAAAGCAAAAATAGTTGAAACATTCCCAATTGTCATTTTATTAAAGGTCTCCATTTTATAAGATTTATTTGTCTATATTTAAGTCAATCTCAAAAACTTTAAAAAATTTTAAGAAAAAAATTAAAGATTTAATTGCTGTTTAAAATTGCACTAATAAATGGGGTTAGGTTCTGTGAAAATCTTCGGAACCAAAAAATCCTTGGTTCTTCTGTTCGAAACCAACAACCCCACCATGAGGGTAAATACAAAAATTGTTTGTTTCAAAATTAAAACTAACGTACCTTTTCTCAAGGGAAAAAAAAGCAAAATTAAAAATAATTATAGGAATTTTAAAAAATATTAGGAGGTAAAATTATTAAAAATAAATTATCTAAGCCTTCTTCCTGTATTAATTCTATATTTTGAATAAATATCAACAATAATTGCACCAAAAACTGTAAATAACCCGAAAAATCCTATTAAAGTAATTGAATGACCGAAATTATAGGTTGAAAAGAAAATTGATAGAATTTGACGAATTGTCATCAATAACTGAAAATTTTTGGGAAAATTTAGGGGAAAAAATTAAAAATAGTTGAGAAAATAAATACCGAAAGAACAACAGGGCCAAACCGCTTAACAGTCATTAAAATAAAAACCTAAAAATAAAAATTTTGTAGTACAAGCTTTGTGGTGTAGCGGGATCGGTGTCTGTCCAAGCCCTTTACTTGAGAGGTTCGAGTCCTTTCGAGAGTATTTTGTTTTTCGAACATTTTTTCAACTTTTATTTTAAATTATGAGATGAAAGCCTCTTAAAATTATTTTTTAAAAATTCCGAGTCTTTAAAACAGAATTTCATATTCCTGCCCAGCTTTTTAATTAAAAAATAAACCTGCCCAAAAGCAGAACCCAACGAAAGCAGTAAACAATCAACAAAAATATTTTCATGTTTAGAAATAAAATTAATTGAAGTAAGTAATGTTCCTTGTTGTAATAGAGAAATTAAACACAAAATTACAGAAAATAAATTAACTGCAAACATCATTTGACTAGTGTGGAGACGTGGGGGTTGTTCAAATAATTCTTTAAAAAAAGTAATTTTTAATTTTCTGACATAAGTTGAACGGAAGGTCGTATCTAGAGGTTAATTGCTTCTGTCCCTTTTGGATAAACCTTTGATACAAAGGAATAATTCCAAAAATATTTCTAACTTTGAGTAATTTTAAAATGGTCATGGGCTCGTAAGGGTCAAAGGGCTAATAAGGGTCAGTATTTCTGAAGGGCTCGTAAGGGTCAGAGTGACAGTATTCCTGCTTTACTGACCATTACGAGTCTTGACCCATTTTAAATTTGATGCAAATTTAATAGGAAAAAAAACTTGATTTTTATAAAATAAAAAATATTTTTTCATTACTTTTTTGCCAATTTGGAGTAAAAGCATCAAGTAATAAATATCCAAACATTAATATAAATCCAGAGATAGCTGAATTTGTTTCTTCTCTCCTTTTGTCGTTACTTTCTTTCTAAAAATATTTTTTAAAGAAATTTTTGCGGATTATCCGCAAAAATCAAAAATAAACCTTAATTTGACTAGCTGAAGACAAAAAGAAAATAGAAGCACCAAAAACAATAATAAAAGCCAAAATATACTCTCTAATTGAATATTGACGTTTACGGACAATTCTTCCCATAATCATTGTTGGAACTAATTTACTTGCTTTACAGACTGTCTGAAAAATTTAAAATTGATTTTTCTCAAAAATTAATTTAAAAAAACCTGTGTTGGAAAGCTAACATATTTAAGAGCCTCGTATTGACACCAAGAAGAAAGCACATTTGAAAAAGAAGTGAAAGAATGAAGATAAAGAGGAGGGACATGAACTGGTAAACTGAAAATTAAGAAAATTTTATCAGCTAGAAAAACTTTTAAGGGCAGAAAACATTTTCCAAGCATATTAAGATAAAAAAAAATGTCCGCAAAATGTGTCCGCAAATTTTTTAATGTGAGAAAAATGTCCGCAAAATGTGTCCGCAAATTTTTTAATGTGAGAAAACTGTCCGCAAATTTTGTCCGCAAAAAATTCTAAAAGATATTTTTAAAATTTAATTAACCTTTTCCACCGAAACAAAATATAAATTCCAGCCAAAACTAAAGCAACCTTTAAAATAAACTATTTAAAATTTTATTTAAAAATCAAAATTGTTTACCTCATTTTAAAATAATTATTTTTTAATTTTATTTTCCTTTCAAATTTCATTCAAAAATTTTTTTAATTTTTCCAAAATATTTTTTAATAAAAATTAACCAATCTATTTGCAAAAACTAAAAATTGAGCATCTTTAAAAAATTCTTTTTTTGTCATATTTTGAATTTTGTAAGGTTGTGTAATTATTCTTTCTTGATAAAAGCCCATACAGACTAGACAAAACTGAAAACTAAATTTATTTTTTTTAATTAAAATTTAATAAAAATTTTTTTGCCAACAAAAATACTTTAGAAAGATAAGTAACATTAAAACAGATTATAGGAAAAAAATCGCTAAAAATACAAGAGACGGATTCGAACTCTCGACCCCAAAAAGTGGCAGCCAGGAACACTCCCAACTTGACCACAAGTGGTTCACACTATAATCGAAAGTAAAAGCTATATAATAGAGGGGTAAAAAAGTAATATTTTTAATGCCCATCCCCCAAGGCGGAACGTTTTATAATACCAAAAGCTTGTAATACCAAACCCCCAAAAGCTGTTGAAATACCAAAGTGACCAAAAAAGCTTGAAATACCAAACCCCCAAAAGATGTTGAAATACCAAAGTGACCAAAAAAGCTTGTAATACCAAATACCCAAAAGCTGTTGAAATACCAAACCGTTGAAAAAATTTTATAAAACTCCTCTTTGTGTATAATATAATCCTCCTCCAAAATCCTTCATAATACAAAGTGTGGAAACCTCTCACATAAGGTTTTCGCGGAAAAAAGTTTTTGCCGCTGCGGAGGAAGCCGGGCATGTCGAGCGGAACGACGGCCGCCGCTTCGCTACGGTCACGCGAGCGAAGCGAGCACGACGCAACGAAGCACGGCCATTGTGTAGCGAAGACCATGCCCGGCCTACCCTCCGTAGCAGCACAAAAACAGTTTTTCCAGCGAAGATTCCGTTGGTCATAACTTTGTTCATAATCATCTAATCGAGCTGATTTTGGTGTTATTCAACTCAGCTCGCCGAGCCCTTTCAAATGAGCTATTATTTGTATATTCGAATTTTTTACTCCAAAAATCAGCTTGTCACAAGAACAGTTTTCCCAGCGAAGACTAAAAGCCAACAGGCTAAAACCAACAAGTTATTCTGCCGGGAGATAAATAACAAAAAATTCCACAGTTTTAGTAACAAATTGAATAATAATAGTTTTGGTATTTATTTGGTATTACAGGCTATTTTCCACGGTTTGGTATTTCAACATCTTTTGGGGGTTTGGTATTTCAAGCTATTGGTATTACAAGCTTTGGTATTACAAGCTTTTGGTATTATAACATCATACCCCCCCCCCCAAGGTTATTTTTAAACCCAAAAAATTAATTTTAAAAACTAAAAATGTCAAAGAAAAACCTGAATTCCTATGAAAAATATTGAAAAATAAATTGCATCTTCAAAAAAAGATTTTCTTTTCCGTCGTAGCGAAAAAGAAGGAGGAATTGATTTGTTTTTATTTAAATTTTGTTGTGGTAATTGTTTATATTCTGGTTGGCCTATAGCAAAAAGACGAAGAAAATGAAGAAAAAAATTTTGTTGAAGAAAAGAATCGTTGTCTAAAAAAATTTTTTTTTAGAATTTTTTAATTAAAAAAACCTTTAGATTTCTTCTCCACCCAACGAATTAAATAAAAACAGAAAAATATTAGAAAGCCATAACCAACTAAAATAGGCAAAAGTCGAAAAATCCAATGTAAATCATCCTCATTTGAAAGAAAATTTGAAGAAGAAATATTTAAAGAAGGAGCACAATTTACAATAAATGAGGTTAAAATATAGAAGAAATAAATAATAATGAAATTCATCGAAAATAGTTTAAAAAAATTAAGCAAAAAATCGTTTTATTTAGAAATAAAATTGTTAATGGAGACTCTAACGTCTTGTTAGCTCTTACAAAAAAATAAAGATAGAGAAATGGAGAAAGAAAAATGAGAAAGAGAAATAAAAATAGTTACTGTCGAGACAGTAGATTAATTGGCAATGAATCATAGTTAGCGATGAAATTAGCGATGAAACGTCCTTTCCAGAAAATGAAAAAGTTAGAGAAAAAAAAAAGAAAAATGAGAGAGAGAAATGATAATAGTTACTGTAGAGTCAAAAAATGTTCTGGCGATGAAACATACTTAGCGATGAAATTAGTGATGAAACGTCCTTTCCGGAAAATGGAAAGGTTAGAGAAAGAGAACTGAAAATAGTTAGTAATTTTGAATAATTGCCTAAAAAGATTTAATTTTACAAAATTGTCATAATGTTTAATTTTTATCCGCCATTCTTTAATAACGAAATCCACCTTGCACACGTTCTCATTTCTTTGGCTGAAGCATATTAAATGCTAGCTTTACCGCACAGATTCCTTTTTATTGATTTTGGTGTGTCTAGTGAAGCAAATTAGCCAAATAAGCCCTAGCATTAAAAACCAGAATTTACCTCTACCTGTTAAAGTTTTTGTTAACAACTAATTTATTAATTTTAACTCCTTAGAAACATAAAATCTGATTTTTTACAAACAAATTCTTTTATTCAATTTAACTTTTAATTAAAAAATGGACGAGGAACAACTTTTGGATTATGAAGAGGAGCAAGACGAAACTCAAGAACAGGCTAAAACTATTGCTGAAAATGGAGATGCTTCAAAGAAGATAAAGGTTCTCTTGCTGTCTTAGACTATTCTAACTTTAATTTTTAAGGGTAACTATGCCAGTATTCACAGCAGCGGATTTCGAGATTTGATGCTTCGTCCAGAACTTCTTCGTGCGATCATCGACTGTGGATTTGAACATCCTTCTGAAGGTTTATTTTGAATATGAGGTTAACAAGTCATATATTTGTTCCTTTTTAGTCCAACATGAATGCATTCCTCAAGCAATTTTGGGTATGGACATTGTCTGCCAAGCAAAGTCTGGTATGGGGAAGACAGCTGTATTTGTGTTGGCAACACTTCAACAATTGACTCCAGTTGACGGGACGGGTTAGTTCTTCAACTTTTTTGAATCTTAAACTTCTCTTTTTTAGTCTCTGTTCTCGTTATGTGTCACACTCGCGAACTTGCTTTTCAAATTTCAAAGGAATATGAGAGATTTAGCAAATATATGCCCGGAACGAAGGTTTTTTAAAGTTGTTGTTCAACTATAAAACCTCTCTTTTAAGGTTTCGGTTTTCTTTGGTGGTATGCCGATCAAGAAGGACGAGGAAACTTTGGCTAAGAATACTCCGCACATTGTTGTTGGCACTCCAGGGCGTCTGCTGGCGTTGGGACGTACAGGACAATTGAAGCTGAAAAACATCAAATTCTTCGTTTTAGACGAATGTGACAAAATGATTGGGGACGCTGGTTAGTCAAAAATATGAATTTATTGAACTTATTTTGTTATTTTTTGTTAGATATGCGTCATGATGTCCAGGAAATCTTCAAAATGACACCACAGGAGAAACAGGTGATGATGTTCAGTGCAACACTTCCACGGGAGCTTCGAGTCGTCTGCAAGAAATTTATGCAAGAAGTGAGTCATCTTCTCAAAAAAAGTTTATTTGTGTTGTTGCTCTGTTGGAAAATACTCTCCGGGCTATCTTTAAACTTTCGAGACCGTCGTTTGTGCAAACACTACGGCAAAAAATTTGTTTTGTATATATTGGAGCGGATTTTTGTATATAATGGCAAAGACTTGAAAGATTTTTTGGAATAATTCTTTCTCTTCGCGCGTCGTATTCCAACCATTTTTAACCAAATTCAAAAATTTTCCACACAAAATGAGAACTCAAATGATCAAAAACAACAAAAAAAATTAAAAAAGTCGTTGGTGTATAAGATGTCTCTCGATCGCCGCCGGTGAGAGACACAATTCCTTCTCACCGTTGGAACGTGTTGTTTGGATGTAGAAGAGTAATTGCTACGAGGTTTGATTTTTGGAAGGGTTCTTTTGATAATTTTTAAAATTTTGAACAGAAATCGTGCAGTTGCTCTTGGCCTGTTTTTAATGTTTTTTTGATGGCCGGAGACGCTCGAGAGGCTCCGCTGAAGGCTTTATTATTGTTATAATTGATGAAGAATTTACTTACTCCTCCCACTTCTGACAATTTGGACTTGGCATTTTTTAAGTACCACACATAAGTGATATCCTTAAAAACCAAAAGTTTTCAGTTTTTTAGTCAAAAATTTCAATTTTTTAGCCTTGGGGAGAATTAAGGAATCATTACAATTCTATCAGAAAATCTTTTTTTTTTGAATGCAATTTCTCTTCCTTTAATCACTCATTTTGTCTGATTTTGTGTTTTCTTCCTTTTAATTTTTCTAATTTTTTAAATTTTCAGCCAATGGAAGTTTATGTTGACGATGAGGCTAAACTTACACTTCACGGTCTTCAACAATATTATGTTCGTCTGAAGGAAAATGAAAAGAACAGGAAATTGTTGGATTTGCTTGATGCTTTGGAATTTAATCAGGTTTTTCCTTGAAAATATATTTGTGAAATTTCTCTTTAAGGTTGTCATCTTTGTGCGTTCCGTCACCCGTTGCCGAGCTTTGAATCAACTCCTCATTGAACAAAACTTTCCTTCCATCGCCATTCATCGTTCAATGCCGCAGGATGAACGTCTTGGCCGTTATCAACAATTTAAAGATTTTCAGAAGAGAATTCTTGTTGCGACTAATTTGTTTGGACGTGGAATGGATATTGAGCGTGTCAACATTGTTTTCAATTATGACATGCCTGAAGATACTGATACATATTTGCATAGAGTGAGTTTTATTAACACTAAATATAGATGGGGAGTTGAAACTAAGGTCTGGGGTTTCCACTACTTTCCAGAAAATTTTTTCCCCTTCGAATCAGAAATAATGCTGTTGGCCTAAAGGTTTTGGATCAGAACCCTATATTTTCATTTACCCAAAAAATCTTGGTTCAATTTTTAGGTTGCTCGTGCTGGACGTTTTGGTACAAAAGGACTTGCTATCACATTTGTTTCAGACGAGGCTGATGCAAATACATTGAACAGTGTACAAGATCGTTTTGATGTGACAATTGCAGAGCTTCCAGAACAGATTGACGTTGGAAGTTATAGTAAGTTTATAGAAGGGGGGGGGGGGAATGGGTTTTGGATAATTTCTAAAAAAAATTTTTTTAGTTGAAACTCGATCTGGAAACAACACCAACAAAAATGGAACGGAATAAGCAAAGGATTGAATGGAAAATATAAAAAAAAGGATTTATGGAGAAAGAATAATATCAAAAAAATATTTTGTGTTTTCATTTATTTTCCGAATTTATTTTTCTTCCCCCAGTAAATGTTGGAAAATGCTAGCCCAAAGTTTTCCGTTTCTTTTTAAATCACACGAATCAATTCTATTTTCTCATTATTATTCGGCTTTTTAATGGTAAAGGTTTTGGATTGTTTTTTCTCTTGAGATTTTGAAGGAGGGGTAGATTAAAATTAAAAGTGGGGTTTCTTGTCTCCGTAAAAGCCGAGAAGTCAAATCCTCAAGGTGTCGAAATGCCAAACTGACGATTTTAGAAAAAAAAGTCTCGGGTCCCTTACCATAAAGTAAGCTCGTCAACCTTATAATAAATCAAAGAATATCTTTAATTTTTATAAACCAAAGAATAATTTAAAGTTTAAATACAAAATTTTTAATTAGAGATCTAACAGAATAAAGTGATCTCTCAAAACTTCAAAATATTTTTAAGAACAAAACCCGCCAAATAAATTTAAGATTCTTCCATTTCCTCGTCCTCTCTTTCGTGTGGCTCAGGTTGCATAGCCAATGCTTGCTTCTCTCGCCAAGCACGGGCAGCTTCGAGTAATTTGAAATTGATTTTTGAGGCTGAAAAATTTTTTTATTTAATTTTAGATAAGCTTCGATATGTCGGGCATAGGAAATTCTTCGAAAATCTGAAGACCTGAACATCTGAAGATCTCATCAAGGCCCCCACCTTGATGGGGAATTCGTATTTCTTGACCCTCAGTTCTGATCCTACCGACAATCCTATTATTCTCTCTAAACCTAAGATACACCTTCTAATGCTTGAACCAACAAATTGTAAGTCAAAAACTATTTTGAAATTGAGTCAAGAAATTGGAATTCCCTTTTTCAGACGAAGACAGAAAGCACCTAAGGATCGAACCTAAATTTTCAGATACCCTCACAGTACTGTGCCTAACCGACAATCCTATTTATTATTCGCTATAAAGAAACCTTGATCTTGAGGGAATATATAATCAAAATATTCTTCCCATCCAGCATCTGTCCCATCCACAGCAATTATTTGTCTTCTCTTCTTTACACGTTTTGGTATCATTTTTTCAACAAATTTTTGTTCTTCCTCAGTTCCGTGTTGTTGTTCAAATTGTTTCCATTGTTCCAAAAGTAAAAGACGTTCTTCAGCTGGTGATCCTTCCAATGCTTGATTTGCACGTTTATACAAAGCTCTAGCTTTATCGAATTCTTCATTTGATGTTTCCCATTCTAGCCAACTTATCCAAACCTTTAAATTACAAAATATTTGAAAAACAATTAAAATTGAACAGGCCCAAAAATTATTTTTGTCATAGCAATAGAGCCAAACCTAACATACACCCTTGTAGCGGATAAAATCTTATTTTATAATGAGGGGTAGAAGATTAGACAGAGGTGTACTATCTCTTAAGCAGCTCTACAAAAGGTGACCACTAGAGATCGGCCTGGGCCTGGACCAAGGCCTGGGTTTTTCCTGTACCCAAAGTCGAGGCCCAGGCATTTTCTGACGTACTAGGTTTTCCCTGGGCTGTTTTTTTCCTGGACTACAGGCCTAGGGATCGGCCAAGGTCAATAAATCAAATCCAGAACCCAGGAACAAGTCCAGGCTTTTCAAAAATTCACGATCTCTAGAGGCCAGAAAGAAATTGAAAAAATAAAAAATCAAAAAATTGTCCCCAAAATTAACCTAGATTTAACAAAAATTAAAAAAAACCTTTATATGTTGTGTACGTCTCAATAAACTTTCATACAAAATTCTAACCCTTTCATTTTCCCCTTGTTCAATTTCAAAGTCAATATAAGCTTTCCACAAAACTTCAGGCATATCCAACATTGGCTGTTGTACAGCAATTTGAAATATTGCTCTAGCTCTAGCATCATCTCCCAATAAATTTTCTAATTCTGCATATTTCATCCATGTCATACTATCATCGGGAACAAATTTTAAAAATTGTTCGTATAATTTACGGCATCTAGAGAAAAAATTTTTTTACCAAATTATTTTTAAAAACGCGTTTTCTGTTGAATCTATTGCTTATTTAGTACTTTTTTTTAGTTTTGTTGTATTAATGAGATCAACTCTTATTATGAAAAAGGAGAGAAGACTACTCTTTGAAAAGTCAACCTCTCTCTGATGACGAAAGACTCTTGAAGGTTACGAAGGCCAAACACGTGCCCGGACATTTATGAGGGTTTTGGAAAATAAATTTTGGACGAGGTAAGCGCAAACTTAATTGGAATAGATGGGATAAAACAACTCAAAAATCGACTCCTCTTTAAGCTTGAAAGGAAAAGGTTGGAAAAAAGTGAAAGGTGTGTGGTATCAAAAAATGAAAAAGCATTCATTCAAAAACCCCTATCGATGACTCAATAAATCAGACAAACAAAAAAACAAATTCGGAAAAACAATTTATTTACAAAATTACATGACAATACAATATTATAGGTACATTATATAGGGAAGAAATATCACAATTTACGATTATATATTTCCTATTCTTACATCACCATCCCGCAGCCATCCTCATGCAGCAGCCATAGGAACGTCGACCTTGAACTCGCCAGAAGATCCAGGAGGGAAGATGGCCTTGGCGTCCCCAGCATCTGGAGGAGCCCCAGCGAAGCAGATCTCGAGCTTGTCATCACCTTTTGGAGGGCCGTTCTGGCGGATCACTTCGACTTGGGCAGCGGCACCGGGCTCCACGAATCCGAAGACGGGGTTGACTCGGTAGTGCTCGTTATTGCTGGACTTGAGCTTGAAGGCAAAGCGGACCTTAAAAAATAAAAAAGAATGATTTTGATTATAGGAATGATTTGAGAGAGAGAAAAGATAAGATGATTTGAAGAAAAAAATAAATACTACCTCAGGGTTGCCGTTCATCAGCTGAAGCGAGACGTTGCCTCCCGAAGCAGGGACCTGGATAGCAGCTGGCTCGACTTGGACCGCCATTGTTGTTGTTGTTGTTGTGAAGATTGGTTGTTGATTGTTTGAAGAGTTGTCGTTGTAGTGTTGCGTTTGAACGAAATCAGTGAGCTTTTATAGTTGGCTGGGTGTGTTTGATTTCTTCATGGAAATCATGATATAAAAGCTTTGTCATCATCATCGGTCACCAACACTCTACAACGACATCTCTTCAAACAATCAACAACCAATCTTCACAACAACAACAACATGGCGGTCCAAGTCGAGCCAGCTGCTATCCAGGTCCCTGCTTCGGGAGGCAACGTCTCGCTTCAGCTGATGAACGGCAACCCTGAGGTAGTATTTATTTTTTTCTTCAAATCATCTTATCTTTTCTCTCTCTCAAATCATTCCTATAATCAAAATCATTCTTTTTTATTTTTTAAGGTCCGCTTCGCCTTCAAGCTCAAGTCCAGCAATAACGAGCACTACCGAGTCAACCCCGTCTTCGGATTCGTGGAGCCCGGCGCCGCTGCCCAAGTCGAAGTGATCCGCCAGAACGGCCCTCCAAAAGGTGATGACAAGCTCGAGATCTGCTTCGCTGGGGCTCCTCCAGATGCTGGGGACGCCAAGGCCATCTTCCCTCCTGGATCTTCTGGCGAGTTCAAGGTCGACGTTCCTATGGCTGCTGCATGAGTGCGGGACGATGGATATAGATGAACACACAGTAAAGAAAAATGATGCTGATGTGAAGAATAGGACCACCGAAAATATATAATCATAAATTGTGTATATTTCTTCCCTATATAATGTACCAATAATATTGTATTGTTATGTATTTGTTGTAAATAAAATTGTTTTTCTGAATTTTGTTTTTTTTGTTTGGGATGAGATATTTAGAATTGATTATTCCTAGGTGTTTTTGTGGATGATATAGGACCACTTCCCTATATAATTTGTATTGTCCCTATATAATTTTGTAAATAAAATTTGTTTTTTTTTTGAATTCGTTTTTTTGTTTGACTTTTTGTTTTTGCTAGGAAGTAAGAAAAAAGATTAGGGTTTTTGTTTGTACTTTTCATTCAATGTTTTGAATGATTTTGTTCGAATTTTGTTTGTTTGGTAATGAGGCGAAATAAAAATTTGAGTTATTCATAGGGGCTTTTGTGACTTTTTGTTAGGTTTTCACTTTTTGAAATCTCACTTTCCAACCATCTTCCCTTTGAAACTTGACACGCAAAGGATCTGTGTCAAGCATCGAGTGTTGTGATCCATGGATTCCTTATACGAAGACAGATGTCTTTTTGAGAGGCTAACACACTCGGCAAATGTCCATTTGACTCCCTACCTTTCCGCAAAGAGAATACCCACTTTTCACTCCTTTTCTTTCATTTTTCTGCAAATACCCTTATCGATGCTATTGCATTTTCAAAAAAAATTTAAAATATTCACCTATCAAATTCCCTCAATTTAAGCTCAATTTCAATATATTCACGAAATAATTTTTTCTTTGGACATTTCCCAATTGCAACACCAAGAATTTTACGTGCCCCAGTTAAATTAAGTTGTCGTAATTCAAATTGTGCAAACATTAACCAAATAAATGCAAAAGTAAATTGACGATGAGGAATTATATCTAAACAAGCAGTCCAAACCTTTATAAAAAATGTATTAAAATAATTCTTTCAAAAAAACCTCTCTGCAACGGTCAGGATCGTTTGCATCCAATTCCTCATATATTGCATAATAAACCCATAACCAGATATAACGACGCCAATAACGTTTTTCCTAAAAAAAATAAATATTTGAGACTAAAGTTGCAGCCTAACCTTTGGGGTTTGAAAGGTTCGGGTCAGAGTTGAAATTCATGTCAAGGTTAGGTGTCAGGGATAAAAGGCAATATTAGGAACTTATTATAAGAAACACCCTCTGGGATGAAAAGATACACACTTGAGTAACTTATCAGGAGCAGCTTAAATTGCGAGTATCGCTTAATTTAAGAGACGTATCCTAAATAGAGGTATATTGCAGGGATG